TTTCTTTAATAATTTCTGGAATTGCTTTGCTTTTTTTCTTTTCCTTTTTCCAAACACTGTACTGATAGTTTAGTGAAGCTGTGAATCACAATGCTGTAGTCTTGCTGAGCAGTATTGATACACTGAGAGCACATTTATATTTGAAGTTGAGGTTGCTTTCTCCTGAGAGATAGATATGTTTGTGTTCACCTATATTTAATTTTGTTTGCTGTTTTTATTGTCCAGTTAGTCTCACAAGGGTCTTTGTGATTCCATGGACTCTGCTGTTATCCTTGGTATCTTAAATTACCCACTAGCATCAGCAAACTTTCAAGTCACTAAAATTTGATCTTAAGCAATAAAAGAAATGCACTATTTGCTCTGGGCTGTTGGAATCCAGTGGTTTATATATCATGTTTTTGGAATTATTGAGCAAGAGACTTTGTTGTAGAGTGCTTGTGCAGCTTGCAGGCTGAAAGTTATAAATGTAGAGAGCTGTGTCTCTTTCTCTATAGCTTATTTCATATCCACATAGGAAACTTTTTGGTGTCTGTGCTGTCTTGTCTGCAGAGACTTGGGAAAGTTCTGTATCTGTATTTTACAGGGGGTTGATGAGGCTGTATTTTATAATCTCTTTGCTTTTCTGCGTTTTGGGACTGTATAAGTGACCTGAAAACGTCATTCCCTAATTATTTGGACAAAGTTGTCACCCTAAATATATCAAAACCAAAGAATTTGCACAAATAGAGAGTGAAAGTGTGCTGACTCTATTGCTCTGAGATGTGAGCAATTTCTTCTGTAACTTGGGTATTTGATTTTTCAAAAGAGCTCAATATCCTCATATTTTAAGGATTACTTACTTCTGTATTTTTTTTACTCTTAAAAGATAATTCTAAGATTATTTATAATTTTTTTAAATAATTCACAATTTTTAATAGGTAGCACTGCTCAATACCTCTCAAAAAAAAAAAAACTTTTGCTGTTTAACCCTCTGTAGTTTTCCAGGCACAGGAAACTATATTCTGTGCTCTTGTAACTGAGCTTTACTTTTGTGACAGCAATATTAGCATAAACAAACATATGAAATAATGGATGAGATTAAAATAATCACAGCAAGGAATCATCCCCTCCCTGCTCTGCTGCAGTGCTCAGGGTTGTGAAGAGGAATGCTGAAGGCATTGCAGGCTGGCTGTGGATGTATCATATCAGTTTACACTCAGGAGCAGAGCCGTGCTATTGGGCAGAAGAGTTTGAAATTATTATTTATGCAGTTGTGTTTGCAGCTGGTATAAAGTGCAGGACTGGTTTCACATGCCTCCAACAGAGCAGGAGAGCAGTCCTGAGCAAGGTTCTCAGTTTCCTGCACTATGTGTGCTGTGGAAAGAGACACGGCTGGCAAAGGATACAGGTCAGGGGCAGCACTTACAGTTTGCTTTAGGAATGCAGTCTTTCTGTCTGATATTTTGGCATTGCTTTGGCTTTTTTTCCATTTTGATTCATTGATACTGTTTGTGCTATCATTAATCAAATGTTTTCCAGTAATGTCTTGTGCCTGTTGATGAATATTTTCTTTAGTAGTGGCTTTTTCTTCCTTTTTCTTTTTTTTTCTTTTGAGGAGAAGGAAGTGTGTATAAAGGGAAAGGAAGTCTTCAGTAATTCCTTCTTTCTCCCTAGGGCAAAATATAAAATACAGTTGTATATGCAGTATTTTCTTTTTTAAACAATAGTGAAATAATATTTTAGTTCTCATTTGAATTGTTAGTGCTGTATGTTACTTTTCAGAAAGTTTCCTTTGGTTAGAGAGTTTTTTATTTCTTATTTTAAAATTTTTTGTTAAATTTTCTTGTTGGGCATGAGACAAGATTATTGTTGATTTTTAATACTGTTTCTTCCTAATGAATGTGGTGGTGTTCTTCAGAAGCACAAAAGTAGTTTTTATGTGCCATACCTGCCTTTTGAGAAACTGGGTGAAGCAGGGCTTTTTCTGCTTCCAGTCACACAATACTGATGTCTTCTGTTTTCAGTGCTGAAACCCCATCTTCTTTTTCCTTCCTGGAGAAGGCAGGAGGGGAGAAATTGGCACAGAGAGGCCATAAATTCACTTTAGGATTCTTAGTGAGCAGCTGCTTTTAGAACCTGTAATGCTAATTGATGTCTTGTTCTTATTTTTTGTGAGCTGTTTGTATATTTTTCTCAATTTTTTAACTATAAAAAATTCTCTCATTAGGAAAGTAACTACTAAAGCTTAGTTTCTCTGGAATTAAAACAGGGAGAGTTGTCCCTAACCCTTCTTGTCCTCTATGCATCTTTAGAGATTCTGTAAATGTGGTTCTACCTTTGAGTTTCAGTGAATCAAAAATAGTGGTCTTGAATGTCGAATTTATGGATATTTTAAAGTAATGCTGTGATGAAACATGAGGATTATCCTTAGCTGACATTGTTGGGTTTTGCTCGCTTGCATCACTGTGCTTTGTAGTTGCTGTTGTTGAAGCAAACGCTGTGATATTTTCAGGAGCATTTCTCATGGAGGAGAAACATTTGAGTTCACAGAGTCTTGTCACTGGTGACCCCCTGAGATATTACTGATTGCAGTATAAATGTTTGTTCAGTGAAGGGAACATTAGGCTGCATCTCTTCCTGGGGCCGTCCATCCAGTGGGTTATGGTATTGTCTTCCTTGCTGTAATAAACACATGCAGCTGTGTTTGCTGTGCATGCAAAGCTCACGCTGCTGTGTCTGGCTTTGCAAGGTGTGTCAGGGCTGACGAATGTGCTCTGCAGACCTGACAAATGTGCCCTGCAAGTGGCCAGGGCTGGGTGTCTCTGTGCCAGCCAGAGCCAAGCTTTACCTGCACTGCCAGGCGAGGCTGGCAGGCTTTGCCCAAATGTTCCACAGTCATGGCACTGCCAGTGCCCCAACCCTCCTCGGAGCACTGGCCTTCTCACTCTGTGAGCTGTCAAAAAGGGATGGTTCTGATGGACTGGGGTTATGGCAGGAGTGTAGTTCTTCTTTGGGATCATTTTCTAAATGCTGTCAGCTTCACTACAAACTGCTCTCTGAAAATTCATTTGGGTTATTCCTCAAGCGTGCTATGGGCAATTTATTTATGTCTGTAGAACATCAAAAATACCATTTAATAGTAAAGATGCCAATTTTCCTAAAGAACTTTAGTATTTTCAGATTTAGTTTTCAGTTGAATAAGATCAAAAGCACAAGTAACTGTTTGACTCATAAACATGAAAAAGGGAAGAAATAGAAGTGTGGCAACTTTGATGGTAACCAGTGTTACCATCTGCTCCTGGAATCTGGTAGGCAGTTGTACCACTTAATATTATGTATGTATAGCAAACATATTACCTTCATGGGGCTTTTCTGGTTTGGGTTTTGGGTTTTTTTAAGGAGTCTCTCATTTCAAATTCTCTCTCAGTTATTTAATCTTCTATGAAGGCGTTCTGATTCCTTGTAGCTGCACGGCAGGACTGGTGCATTTTTGACATTGTGATGATGAAACTTCAACAGCAAACAAAGTTTTCTGTGTTTGTTCGTGGCAGCTTTCAGAGCTAAAGGGAATCTGGAAGCTATAAACAAATATTTTCAGTGTCTTAAGATGAAGCTTCCTGTTGCTTCTGTTTAACATACTTAGGGATCTGAGGAGACAAAACTCCTGGAATTTTACTGAGTTTTTATCGAAGTCAGAATTTAAAAATACTTGTGTGCAGCTGAGGTGATGCTCAGAAGGAAGGAGTGTGTGTAAGGGTATAGTGTTAATTTTGTTAGGTGAAATTATCTAGTACTTCTGACCATTGTGTTGTTATGTCAAATGTCTCATGCATACAGTCAGCAGTCTGCTTTTTGTGCCTTTGAAACGCTTCAGTTTTAAGAGATGGAAACGTTTCAGTGCTCATGGACATGTTTCATGTTTCCAATCAGCTGTGAGATATTGGGCTCAGATAAACCTGAGCACTTACTTCCACTTGGTATCCATAAGACTGAAATTAGAGTGGAGATATTGTCCTCTTAATCTTCCATCCCATGGCATCTGACTCAGGGCTGATGAAGCACACAGCTGCCCGCTCTCACTCTTGCAGGAGGAGATGATCCTGCTGTGTCTAGTCTTTCTGGTAGCCCATGCTTCAAGTTATAGCTGTTCTGTGGCTGTTCTCCTAGTCTGTGCTTCCTTGGAATTAGCTGTTGTTGTTGTTGTAATACCTACAGCTCTTGGGTTTGCTGTGGCTGCTCCTGGTTTGGATAAATTCAGCTTTGTTTTCTGGACTTTCATCTGTGCTTGTGGGTGGAATGGCAGTGCTGGCAGTGGTCTGCTGTCAGAGACAGCAGGCTGGGCCAAGCTGCAGGAATGTCCTCACTGTGGGCTATGGGACCCAGTGAGCTGCTTCTGCTTTCTTCTTGCAGATAATCCTCTAAATCACATGACTCATGTTAAATTTTGTAAAATTCCTCGTGTTTATTATCGGGATTTTTAATAATTAGTTCAAGGGAATCGGAATTTTTCAATTTCTTTGGATTTTTTGTAAAGTTTTTCTCTGTGACTGCCATTTTTCTCTCAGTGCTGTATTTACAGAGCTGATGGTAATCTCAGATCCAGTGTTGTTGGTAGTTAGGCTGTTGCCTGAATACTCCCACAGTGTTTTCCTTCCCACAGTCAGAAATAAAGGACATTGCTCCCTAATAAGCCTTTCTTTTGCTGGCTAACGAGTGAACTCAGCAACATGGGTCACTTATAAAATATCCTCGGTTCAATGCCATTTGTGGAACAAGAACTAAAAAAAAATAAAAGATTATAATTTGGAGTGGAGTGGAGCTGTAGGAAGTACTTAGTCCTTAGCAAAAATCCCTTTTAAAAAAAGGCAAAAACCATTGGTCAGTCACATGCATTTTGTTTGGCTCTAATTTGTGGTCTTTGCTGCTCTTCTGGATTTCTGGTCTTAAATAGAACGTTATAAAAGAAGACATTGCTTTTCATCTGTATTTTATATTTAAAGTCTCTTTCTTTCTGCTTGTAGATTTGTTTGTAAATGCATCATAAACAGACAGCCCAGAATGAAGAAAGCAAGCAGGAGTGTTGGCTCAGTGCCCAAAGTGCCTGGAGTAAATAAAGCTCAAACAAGTGAAAAAGCCAAACCAGAAAACGGCTCCTCAGTGTCTGCAGTAACAAAACTCTCCAAAACCGGGACAACAGCATCTCTTTTGAAGGTAATAACCAGTAGAACATTCTGATTATTTGTATTTTTTGCAATAAAGCTTTAAAAAGGGTAGAATTTCAAGGCTTGTCTTTAATGCAGCTTAGACTAGATGTTGCATGGGTAGCTGGAGGGAATCTGGGTAGTTACAGAGCACTGGGCAGGGTGACAGATCTTGTGTGTCATTCATGCTGTACTTTCATACTGCAGGATGAGATGGAGAGCAGTGTGCTGTGCAGGACTTGGCTGTTCTGCAAAAGGAGCAGGCTGGAAGTTGTTTTCACCAGTTATTTGTTTGGTGTTATGCTTGAATGGTGTCAGTGACTAATAAGATTTGATAAGAGTTGTTTACTAATTCTGAAAAAAGAACTAATGAAGTATCTAACATGAGAACTTCTTTATATCAGTGATCTGTGTTGGGTCAGTGCAGCTGAATTCTTCTGGCTGTTTTGGCTTTTGCTTTGTGCTGAAGTACTGCTTGAGCTGAATTATCACAAGTTGGTTCTTGCTCCCAGAACAAGTTCAAAGGTAGAGGTTTTCTCTTACAGTAGCAAAACAGGGCAGTATATATAGGAGCATATGGCTTCCAACAAACAGTCAGACACACTGAGGTGTGCTGCTGTGCAGTTTTCACCTGGGAGCAGCCACATCTGGCTTGGATGGATGGAATGAGCCTGCCTGGTCTGCCTCCTTTTCCTAGCAGAGACGTGGCTGGATCCAGCTCCTTCTGCTCTGTGCAGCCCAGTGTGCTGTGCTGTGCTGCTGGAACAAATGAACAGAGCAAGGAACACGGTGTCCAGCTGGGACCTGAACCACTGTCACTGGCACACAGGAAGCCACAAAGGCCATTTAAATAACTGGCAAAGAAAGATCCAAAATTAAAGAAGTGTAAGAGTTGAGGTCTCTGTAATAGCTCTGCAGGATTACTGAAGTCAAAAGGTGTGTGTGTGTTTTCTTCTTCCTTCTCTTTTGTGGAAGAATGGTTAATACTTTTGCTGATGAACTTGCAAGCCAGGTTTCAGGGAGGTTTTCTCCCACTGCCCCTCCTTTCTTTCATCACCCAATGCATCTTGCAGTTTTCTTAGCTTTAAATAATCTTTTGATGCTTGTTGACACTACTTTATATTTCTAGAAACCTCTCAAAGCAGCTGAAGTCCTTTGTAGTTTACTTATCAAGTTTCTTATGTCATACCTCTCAGGGAGATAAATGAGGAGGATGATCTAACACTGAACAGATTTGACCCAGTATGCTTTCACAATTTTACTTATATTAGTAACACTCCTGGCTATGTTTTGGTGTGGGATTACAATTCATGACAGCTTAGGAGTTTGAGGCACAATGAAAATTTTCTCTTGATTACTAAGGCTTATCTCAGGTTTATGTTCAACCAGGCTTACTCATACACTGGATGTCTTTTACTTGTTGTGGTAATGTTGTGCCAACTATGTGACTTAATGATAGTGATGAATCTTTGTGTGCTCTGTGCTTAAATAACAAAATTAGTTGTTTGTGGGGTTTTTTTGTTTACTGATACTGACAAATCACATAATTTCTGGCTTGAAAGAAATATCAATAGAAGTAATATTTTTTAAAATATTTTTTAATATAATTTTATATTTGATATTGTTGATTAAGCATTTGGTATTTCATAGAGGTTGTAGGGTATTCTCTTAGAGTTGATGAATTGGTGTGTGTTCTGTATTTAATTTAATATTCTTTGACCAAAAAAAAAACCAACTGGCATTAAATAACTTTATTGCAATGCTTACTAATTTATTCAGTCCTTTGAGTTGGATATTGAGTGAAAGGCCCCTATTAAAGAGTAGAAATACAGTATTAAAACAATCAGTAATGCTGCAAAATTGAAAACCATTTTGAAATTACAGCATCCTCTTAATGATATAACTCTAGGCCAGTTTCCAGCTTTGAGTGGGCTTCTCTGACTGCATTGTTTCATACATTTGTTCTTTTTTGTGGAGTTTTCAAAGTGTGTGGACAGTGAGCACAGGAAGAAGCTGTGGGACCCAGAGCTGAGCCTGTCCCAGGGTCTGTTTGTTTGGCTGCTTCCCAGGGCCCTTGCTCGGTTCCTTCTCTGTAGTTCTTGTCTCCCACTTTACCCAGCACTTGTATAAATGTTCAGCACCCCACACACATTATTACTACAGAAGTTTAACTGCCAGCCTCTTTTAGTTTTTAATTTGTTAAAAAATACTCTGCAAATAATGTATTCTTATTTTTAAATTTTTTTTTTTTTTTTACTTCTTCAGCTGACAAGCTTGTGATGCTGCTAACACTCCCAGCTGTAATTAGACAGCAGCTGTACTTCAGATGAATTGCAAAATCCAGTGTCCCTGAAAAGCCAGGACTTGGAGACCAATATTTGAATATTAAAAATTAGAGTGTATTTTCAGTATTCATGTGTCTAGGCTGCTATTCTCTTTGCAAAATGCAGTAACTTAATTAGCTTGTTGTGAAGTTTGATGTTTGAAAAACTCAAATGCAGCAACAACAACCATCAAAGAAAATCTTAGGTAGGAATAATTATATATATATAAAGGGATTTGAATGAGGTGCAGTAAATAGGATATACCTTTTGAGAAGGTAAGATGAAATGAATTGTATAGGTCATTATTCAAGTTTCGCTGCACTGAAAGAAAGTGGTGAGAGGAAAACAGAATATGAATTGTATAATTATAAAGTGTTTTTTTATATAGAAAGTCAAAATAGGTCTGGATGAGTATTTCTAATTATATTTTAATGTGGGAGTTTTAATGCTAAGCAGGATGGCATGGTTCTTAGTAAATGGGAAAAAGTTGTTTGATAAATATACACCATTGCTTTTACTTCAATTAAAAAGATATGCTACAAAATTACTTTGATTTTAGAAGTTCTGAACAGTTGCCATTGTGGAGCATTAAGATGAGAGCTGCTGGTTTGTAATTTTTCCAAAGCTTTGCTAAATAGTTTTCTTTGCCAAGAATATAAAGTTACAGCTTTGAGAAACTGTTTACTAATTGGCTGCAGAGGAGGCAGTGCCTTCCAACCCAGACCAGAAATAGTTTCTGGGTAAGTCAGAAGAAGAATGGCTGTCTAAAATTCCTTTGTTCAGCAATGACTGCAGATGACTAATGTCTGAATGTGTGTATTTTACTTAGCATTTTTTTTTTCTTCAAGCTGAGTCACATCTTGACCTATTTGGCTTGATAACATGTAATTATACTCTAAGTGTCTAAAAAGCTTAATCTAATTTCCCCACTCTTTCAGCCTGGTAAAAATACTGACAGCTCATAGTCTGTTTGAGCTATCACATTTGCAGGCAGGTGGGCAGATCCAGCAGCAAAGCAGAAAATCACTTTCCCAATGCCTTGGTTTAGGCAGTAGTTGCACAGGGTTGTTTCCCTCCCCTGTACCCCCGTGCCCACTAAATTAGTTTCAATTAGAGCCAAAATCGAATTAGATCAGACCAGGATTGTTGGACACCAGTAGTTTGTGCTCAGCCTGTCCTCCCCACATGACTTGGGTGGGATTATGGCTTTTATAGCCCTCCAACATTTCTGTTTTCCTCTTGGTATTTCCACTGCCTGTGCCTGTTGGCATGTCTGTGTGACATGGCAGAGCAAGGAGCTGGGCTGACTCCTGGGGGGAAGGAGCCCTTGGAAAAGCCTTGTTTGCACAGCAAACAGCAATGGCATTTTCATAGCAGAAAAGGCAGCTTTAAATGCACATTAGACTCGATCCTTGGAGTGATGTGTTTTCTTCCAGCCTTTTATAAACCTTTTCAGAAGGCTACACCATTTCTGACATGATTCAATAAAAACATTCTTGTCCTAGAGGGTTTTACCTTAAAAATAGATGTTTCTATCTGTAAATTTTCTGTATTTCTATCAATTGCATGCAGAGCAAATATGTTTTCCTCCCAAAGCTCCCTTTTGTTTTGCAGCTGCTCTTTGTAAATGGCACAGATCCCATCCATGGTCTTTCCACAGTGCTGTGATCAGTGTTCCTAGCTGTTCTGGAAATGGCACTTGCAGAAAGAGACTGTAGAGAACAGAGTGACAGGCAACTAATTTTTTTTAATTAAGCAGGTGTACCTTTATTCTGAATGTATAGAATTGTAATGTCTGCAGTATAGCTTTTAACATGGATGTGTGTGAGCTGGAAGTTATAACTTGCAGACATGATGGAAAGCAGCTGGTTAACTTCTGAGCACTACCTTTTAGCTGGGATGTTGGAGGACAGTTCAAATGTGTTATCCAGCTGAATAATACAGTTGCTCAAGGAATGCTGCTAGCACAGCTGTTTTCTTTTAATTTTTTTTTTTTGCTCATATAATGGGAAAAATGTTGAGCATATTTTGATTTTCACCATTTGAAAAACTGTGTTTTAAAGAGTATAAAGTCTGCCAATTAATGCTTAAGAGCTTAGTATTTCTAGACTTTGCTTTTTTCTGAAAGATGTATTCTCTGTTTGGGAGTCTCGTTGTTGAGAATGCTGTGCTTGCTGCCTTGTCACATTCCAGGCAGCTTTTGTGGCTAACAGTAGTTTCAGGAACAATCATATGAGGTTAGACAAAAAGTCCATCAAAGAAATACCCCATCTCTTAAAATTCCCTGGAAAGAGCTTGAAAGCAAGGCAAGGATGTATGGTGAGGGTGGCTTTTCCCCTGCCTCTGTCCTAGTCTCTAATGAAACTGTAGCTTAGTATTTTGAGCTAGAAATTGTATTTTGCTAATGTTGGATTGATTTTTGTTCTTCTTTGATTTAAGCTTTTTGTTGGGAATTTGTCCACCAGAAAACATTTGATCATATTCAATTGAAGGATATTGTACTAACTTCCTGGTATTTGGTGGTTTAATTATCTAAGAATCGCCTTCATTTTTATGCATAAGCAAACTTTCAGTCAAAGTGGAGAAGTTTTATGCTATGATGCATTACTGTGCTTTGACTGATTTTTTTTTTTTTTAATTTTTTTTCTGCTTGATACTGAAATATTAAGAATTTTTGGGGAGAGAGAGAAGATTCAGTTTCAAGACTCACTCATATGTAAGGAGTTAAAGTTCCATTTCAATTCACCAACTCTGCTCAGTGCAGTGCACTTACACTTTTCAGCATTCTTGCACAGACACATGACTTGTCAAATATGTTCTTTCTAAACTGAAGGAATCTTTAACAGTAGAAACGTTGGCTGTGCAGACTTCTGGGCCAGCTGTCTTAAAGCTGCTTCTCCCCTCTCTTTCAGACTAAGAGTAATGATGACCTCTTAGCAGGGATGGCTGGTGGTGGTGGAGTGACAATGACCAACGGTGTCAAGGCCAAGAAGAACTCTTGTGTATCAACAGCATCTTCAGCTCCAGGGACAGCCATGAACAGTCTGGAAAACAAACCCAAAACTATTGCAGGTAAATGGGATATATTGTTCTTAAAGGTGGAAGGTGGGGGGCTTTTTATTTTCATTTAATGCATTGAGGATCCAGATTGCCTACTGAAGTGCTCAAATGGTCAAATCACACACCTTCTGAGCTCTTTTCCTGGTTTTAATAATGTAATTGCTTTCTTGGAGGGTGTTCCTCTTAGTTTTTTCAGTACTGACTATGCAACTATTATATAAAATGAAATAATATCATTAATTTAGAGAATCATAGGTTTTTCTAAGATTGTCTGTTTCAAAAATCCATGACACAAGCACTAAATCTCTAAGATGATTTGTTACAGTGAACGTTTTGGACATTTTGTATTGCTTTATAGAAATAAAGTAAGAAGGCTCTCAGAAACTGTTCAGAAAAGTGAAATCCTTTAGTGTGTTATTGATATAGATTGAAATAGGTCTTGCCTTCCCTTAGTGTGTTTTGGATTCGGTATGCTTGCAAAGCTGTAAAGCATCTGGAAATAAAGGAGTAATAATCTATCTTCATTTTTATGCAATGAGATGAAAATACAGAAAACAGAAAATGCTGAATGTTGAGTTAATGCTTACTTGTAGTATTTTCTATGAGATGTATTTAGCAGTGTGATTGAGAAAATCAACCACTGTGTTACTGATACAAAGCACGCAGCCTTCTGTACCAGATACTGTATTTTAAATTCATGTTCCTAACTTTCAAAAACCACACAGGTCCAAGTTCCACAGCTAAGCGTGGCACTTCATGTGGCAATAAAGAGTCGAGCTCTTCTCGAGAGAGGATGAGGGATCGATCCCGTGTGAGCCAGAGCAAGAAGCAGCCGGCGGCAGGACAGGGCCCCGGTGACGCCGTGCTGGCAAAGCGCTCCCGCAGCCGCGCCGACGCCGATGGCCGCATGAGCAAGTCCAAGTCAGACAACCAGATCAGCGACAAAGCTGCACTGGAGGCTAAGGTGAACGATCTCCTGACCTTAGCCAAAACTAAAGATGTGGAAATCTTGCATCTGAGGAATGAATTAAGGGACATGCGTGCTCAGCTGGGACTCAACGAAGATCATCTTGAAGGGGATGAAAAATCTGAGGAGAAAGAAGCCATTGTTGTCCATCAGCCAACTGATGTAGAGTCTACACTGCTCCAGTTACAGGAACAAAACACTGCCATCCGAGAAGAGCTCAACCAGCTGAAGAATGAGAATCGAATGCTAAAAGACAGACTAAATGCTTTGGGCTTTTCTTTGGAACAAAGGCTGGACAACTCTGAAAAGCTCTTTGGCTATCAGTCTTTGAGCCCAGAGATTACAGCTGGCAACCACAGCGATGGTGGGGGCACTCTGACATCTTCAGTGGAAGGTTCTGCTCCTGGATCGATGGAAGACTTGTTAAGTCAGGATGAAAACACTCTCATGGACAACCAACACAGTAATTCCATGGATAATTTAGACAGTGAGTGCAGTGAAGTTTATCAGCCACTGACATCAAGTGATGATGCCTTAGATGCTCCATCATCTTCAGAATCTGAAGGAGTACCCAGTATAGAAAGGTCTAGGAAGGGAAGCAGTGGCAATGCAAGTGAAGTGTCCGTGGCTTGTCTGACGGAACGGATCCATCAGATGGAAGAGAACCAGCACAGTACAGCTGAAGAGCTCCAAGCCACGCTTCAAGAGCTTGCAGATCTGCAGCAAATAACACAAGAGCTGAACAGCGAGAATGAAAGACTCGGAGAGGAAAAAGTAATCCTGATGGAGTCTTTGTGCCAGCAGAGTGACAAGCTGGAACACTTCAGCCGTCAGATCGAGTATTTCCGGTCCCTTTTGGATGAACACCACATTTCCTATGTGATTGATGAAGACATGAAGAGTGGGCGCTACATGGAGCTGGAGCAGCGCTACATGGAGCTGGCAGAGAACGCTCGCTTCGAGAGGGAGCAGCTGCTGGGGGTTCAGCAGCACTTGAGCAACACCCTGAAGATGGCAGAGCAAGACAACAAGGAGGCCCAAGAAATGATAGGGGCATTAAAAGAAAGGAATCACCACATGGAACGGATTATTGAGTCAGAGCAGAAAAGCAAAACAGCTCTGGCATCTACCTTAGAGGAGTACAAAGCCACAGTAGCCAGTGACCAGATTGAGATGAACAGGCTGAAAGCTCAGCTAGAGCACGAAAAGCAGAGAGTGGCCGAGTTGTATTCTATACACAACTCTGGAGATAAATCAGATATACAGGACCTGCTGGAGAGTGTCAGGCTGGATAAGGAGAAGGCAGAGACCTTGGCCAGTGGTCTGCAGGAAGAGCTGGCACACACCCGCAATGACGCCAATCGATTGCAAGATGCCATTGCTAAGGTAGTGCTTAAAATACCATTGCCTTCCAGCATCCCATGCACACAATGACTTAGTGGCCTCTGTAGTTCTTGCAGAAGTAAAAGATTAATTCTGAGGTCAATTGGATTACAGTAGTGTTAGGACTCATTACTTTCTCTTGACTTCTGTTATGAAAATTATGTCAGCATTTGAAAAAAATTATATGGCTACATTGAGTAATAGGGTAACTGTTGTGTTACTTTTTAAAAATATTTAAACTCCACAGTTTATTTCAGTGGCCAAACTTAGGCAGTATTTAAGATGCTGTACTGATTTACTGCTTAGATTACACACCTTCTGCAAGACTTTATGTGCTGGTTAGGTTTCGGATCAAAATGTTTATTTCCAGTTCTGTTTTGACCCAAATTTCTAATTTATGCAGTAGCTGTGCCTAGTAAAAGTATTTACCATAATTTATTATAAAAGCAAGAATCACACAATTTACTTAGTAACTTTACATATGCATTTAAAGGTATCTCTTCCTGAAGAGACAATTTATGCCAAATATAATGTATGAACTGTATGTTAGCTGCAAATCAACATGTTAGTCATCATCACGAGCCTGTTAGCATCAATCTTAATTTGGGGTGAAAAATATACTAAAATAATTTTAATAATTAAACTTGGAGAGTGCTATTAAAATAAAAAACACTGAAACAGATGACTTAAAAGCAGGGTATTTTGTCTATTAAACTTGGTGCCTGCCAGCATTGCCCACCCTAAGCCACAACCTAATTCCTCTTGTTTTTCTGACACCCTGTTTTTGCTGTTGGGTTAATGTTCCTGTGCCTCTCCTCCCAGCCTATCACTTATTTTACAGTTTTGTGAAGCAGGATAAAAAAGCCTCTTCCCCTTGTCCTGAAAGGGAGAAGTCAATCACTTCTTCCCTTCCCTGTTTTGCTTTTTTTTCAACTTAATAGTTTGACAGACTCCTCTGAGAGCTGCTTCAACTCACTAACACACCTCACACACAAATGTGACACTTGCTGAAGGAAATCATTCATCACACAGGTCCAGCAAGCACTGAAACTGATGCACAAGAGACCAGGCTTTTTATTTTTTGGCAAAAGAAATGAAGGGTAAAGAGTTTCCCCCCAACCCTGTCCCTTTTCCATGGCAGCTGGATGTTAAATTGGATCAGCTGCTTGTGAAACCTCAGCCTTGGTACAGTGGTGGTGTTGCTTCACTGGTATGAAACTGCTCTTAGAGTAGCTGGGAGTCCTCATATGTCCAGCCTGGGAATAAAAAAAGTTTAACTTTGGCCCAGGAAAAGAGTTGCACTAGAACCATGTATAGTCAAATATAGACATTTCTCCTGGTGATTTCTGCTTGCAGAAATACATTGTAAGTGTACTAGTTACAAAACTAAAAGTATGTTTAATATGCAACTAAGATCTGTTCTAATTTAGGTTGAAGATGAATATCGAGTGTTCCAAGAAGAAGCCAAGAAACAAATTGAGGATCTCAATGTGACTCTAGAAAAGCTTCGGACAGAACTGGATGAAAAAGAGACTGAGAGGAGTGACATGAAAGAAACCATCTTTGAGTTGGAGGATGAGGTAGAGCAGCACCGTGCTGTGAAGCTTCATGACAATCTTATCATATCTGATTTGGAAAGTAAGTGTTATGCATTTCTCTTGAGAGAAAGGATAATTTAAGAAAAGCTCAAGTTGAACACTGTAATATTGGAAATGTTTTCACTTGTCTCTTGTATGTCTGCATTCAAGTCAGACTAGGTTTTGCAGAATCCTTCCACACTAGGGGAACAACAAAATCAAGTTGGCTTAGCTTTTCCAGACCCACTTAGTAGTTGGTGTGGGAATAAAAACCTGTGAATAGAGAACAAACATTAAATCTACTAAAACTGTTTTCAAGTTGTTCTTCAAAGTAGAAAAACATGTAATAGAAAACATGTTTACTGTGTGCCTTTCTAGCTCTCTGTGCCTTAGTTCCCTCTCTGATCTTGGAGACCTGCTCAGACATTCCTACCATGGGCTGGGATTCTGCAATTAGTCTCCATCTAAATAAGAGCAACTCTACTCTGGCAAGCTGTATTTGCACAGTACTACTTAGAGAATTCAAATCTCTGTTAGACTTCCATGTTATTCAAAGATGAAACAAGATAGCAAAAAACCAAAGGACGATTCCTTCTAACAACAAGGGAAATATTCATAGAAAGGATTTTAAATGGGTCTGCTATCAAGCAAAGTTAGTGTCTTCAGGAAACTAAATTGTTTGTTCAAGCTCAGGATCTTCAGACATGGCTGTGAGTGTTGCTTCCCTAAGCAATAGGGAAACATTCTTTGTCTTGAAAGGCAATCACTGCTTCTCTTCACAAATTAAAGTTTTTATTCTGAAATTTTTTTCTGTGCTAAAAGACAGTCATTTTGGATCAAAGACTCAAAAAGGTTGAATACTTTACTACTTATTTTGTCCATTAACTGAAATATACTCATGCATGGAACAGCACCATAGTCAAATAGATATTTAGGTATCTGCCTATCAATACCTGATTATTACAAGGCAGCTCAGATTTTTAGATGTTTCTGCTTTGTGGGTACAAACCAGCTGTCAGATATTTAATTTCGACTGGTAAAAATTCAGGCAGACAAACCTCTCCCAGGGGAGAAATTCTCAACAAAAATTGCAACAGTCTTTGTTATTCATTGGTCTTGAAATAGTTTGGAAAATTCATCTGGAGCAGCCAATGTCCTGACGTGATCCTTTGAGGGGAGCAAGCTGCAGTTTTAGCTCTGTGCTGGAAGGAGAGTGGCATCTAGTGGCAGTAAGAAAGGATGGCACCTGAAGAATTGTATAAACTTGAAAAAGTGTATTTTCTCTGATGATTTGAAAACTCTATTGATTGTGGGTTCATATTTAAACCTCTTACAGGAGTTTTTTTCGTGGTAGTCTCTAAGTACTGACAGCATAGAACAGCATGGAAAATCTGGGACTTAAGAGGTAGTACATACAGCATTTAAAAAATAGAGTTCTAAACACAAAATGGAAAATTATAACTTAAAGATTTTACTAAAGACAGGCTTTACACTTAGTAGAAAGATACCTCATAGATGAGGTGGTGAGTGTTCATTCAGTTTAAGGATTAACACAAATATTAATGTAGGAATGTGAACACTCCAAGTACTGGTACTTAGAGCATGCTTCACTGTGTGCTTTTCAAACACCAAGAGGCACAAGGAACCTACAATGGAACATTTTTCACAGTAATCTGGGTATTGAACTGTCACATTGTAGCTGTTAATACTTCTGCCTGCAGAAACAGGGGTCTCTTTGATGTGTGCAGCAGGATACAAATTCCATTGATGAAAAACACACAGTGTGTTCCTGACATCCATCCAGATGTGCTGAGAGCTGCAGTCACTGCAGCTGAGCTGGCTGCTGCTGGCATGAGGAGTTCTAAAGGGCCTGGAGGGGAAACCTCATGAGGAGCAGCTGAGGACACTTGGTTTGTTCAGCCTGGGGGAGACTGAGGGGAGATCTCACTGTGTCTTCAATCCCTGCTCTCTGTGACTGGTGACAGGACTTGAGAAAATGGCTGGAACTAAGTCAGGGGAGGTGTAGGTTGGATACCAGAAAAAGATTCTTCACCCAGAGGGTGGTTGGGCACTGGAACAGGATCCCCAGAACAGTGGTCACAGCCCCAAGGCTGCCAGAGCTCCAGCAGTGTTTGGGCAATGCTTTCAGGCACAGGCTGGGATTGTTGGGGTGACCTGTGCAGGGCCAGCATTTGGACTGGACAGTCCTGGTAGATCCCTTCCCACTGAGGATATTCTGTGATTCTAAAAGGTCTTAAGAAACATTGAAATACTTGTATGTTTTATACTCTGTGCTGTGCTGAGCTGAAGCAGGCAGTGGGGAAGGCTCACACTGCACTAGATGGCGTGTTCCCTCCGAGTTTCACTTCTGACTCCCAAAAACTTGCAGTAGTCAGGTAGCCCAGCTGTCACATTAGTCATCCACAGTAACTAAGGGGGAAACAGAAACCTATTATTCTCCCAATCAGTTAATAAGAATCTGTGGAGAAAATTTTTGCCAGAAAAATTTGACTCCTGATGTGCAGAAAATGTCTATTTGTAGGTTAGCTTTCCACTTCTCTGAGGTTTCTTCTGAAGCACAAAAATAGTCCTTCTTGTTCTCTTAGCACAGGTGCATGTATGTTCTCCTAGTCTGTAACTATGTATGGCAGTAAATTTTTAGGACAGGGCTTGGTGAGCTAGAAGGTGGATATATTTAATGTTCAATGAATAGTTCTTTTATGGAGCTGACAGTTTTAATTCTGCTGTATCTCATTTGAAAAGGATCTTGACAGCAGTTATGAAATGAAATGTTTACATTACCATATTTAGGCCTTTTCTAACAAAGTGTTGGAAAAATCAATAGGATGTTCATTTTTAGCTAAGGGTGGACCCTTAAAAAGTCACCTTTCTTGCTGTATAGAGGTATTGTCTGACATGATGAGCTCAAAAGTAAGATTGCCTGAGCTTTGGTATTTGTACCCAGTGCCCCTTGCTTACAGAAGGAAGCTGTAGTTCTCCTACTGCTCTGTGCATTTGGGATTGTGCTGGGATAGCCATTGCTATGCTAAAGAATCAAAATGCTCTCCCAGGATGAGGCATGCCTGTGTGAGCAGTACAAAAACGTGTGAACGTCCATTGTGGAATTGCCTGTGTCAGAATTACTTCATGTATTGTCCCTTCCCAGGAATTGTCATTTTTTCTGAAACTACTGCACGTGTCTGAATATTGTTAGTATTTTTTTGCATATTTTTTCCCCAGAAACTATTGAAATTAAACAATTGAATGTTGATACTCATTTTTATTTCATAGTATAAATTCTAATTGCTAGTTACATTATAATTAGTAAAAATTGCAGATACAGAACATCATGATACCATTTCTCTGGTAGCCCTACAAAACTCTTCCTCCCAGGCCTAGTTGCAAAGGTTTTCTTTACCATTTGTACTCTGCATGTCCCATAATCTTTTTTTTTTTTTTCTGCCTCTTAGGTAGAGGCAAGGCCTTGTCAAACTGTGGTTTAAATCCATGTAATTTTTTGAAATGTAGATGTAATTGGATCCTGCAGTAAAACACAAGCTTGCTGATTTGCCAGTTTTGATTATCCTATTCATTCATCAGAAGAGTCTCCTTGTTCTTCATTTGCCCTAATGTGTAGTTACTTTTTCTTTCATCTCAGCCTTCTTTGTTGTCTATAATCCTCCAAAGAAGGAGACTGGATCATGGTAGAAGTACCTGTCCTACCATGCTGGAGATCCAGGCACGTGGAGTTGGGAAGGGTTTGTGTGTGTTAGAGAAGAATGTGGAGTTTGCAAGGATGCAGAAAGGAAAGATGCCACATGGCAGCCTCTACACATTTTGACTACTTGAATTTTCAGGCTGTAGTTGATGGAGGAGGTGAAACTACTTATATTAGTTGTAATTTCTCACTGCATTTCAAATTCAGTTGTAATTTGGTGGGGGGTATTTTTAGTCTCCTTGGTTGATTGGGGAGGAGACAGAACACTGTTTCCAACAACTGCTGTAAACTGCTCTGTATTATTTATGGTACCTGCAGAATATTCAGACCATTGTGTTTTACTTCAAAGCATAAATACACTAAAATTTAATGGTGCGTTTCATAACTCACAGAAGCTCAAAACAATGGCACTACACAAGCTTTAACTGTGGGTGCATTTATGGTTTCTGGTTTGTGGTTATTTTTAGACAGCTTGCTTTTAGTAGTACTGCAAATTTTGTTTTTAAAAACATTTTTTTCTTTGAACTGTTTAAAAGGTGAAAATTAACATTGACTTGATTTGTTCCAAAATGCATTCAAAGGAAGAGGTGGTGGGGGGGAGCAAATTTTATAACTTTGGCCTAAAGCTGGCCTCCTAGTTCTGAATTTAGCTCAGACAAGTTGTGTATAAAGAGACAAACTAAAAATTGGAGGGCTTTGCTTAAATATCATGATAGCATGAGATTTTTCAGCCCCACCCTGTAGGCTTATCTTCAAAGCTTAAACATCAGCTGGGTGCAACTTAAAATGGGCACTCTTACAAGGAGGACATAAATACAGAAGGAGCTGTCTATTTTTAATGTTCCAGCTTTTTCCAAGTTTGAAAGGTTATCATGTTTTCAGGCCAGCTGAGGTTTATATAATTTTTGTAAAGAAATTAACTGTGACTTAAAAGGTCCCTGTACTTGGGGCTGTTGAGGAAGGTTTCGTGTATTGAACAGCCCAAATGTATTAGGCACCTTTAGTCATGTTGTGGAAAGAGCATTGCTAATATACAGGCAAAATATTTGTTTCCAGCAGGTGTTGGGACAAAAAAATGCGTTTAGTCAGTTTTCCATCATTTTTACAGTTTTTACAGTCACATGATGCTACAGAAATAAAACATCCTAGGAACCAAGTGACACACGGATTAGAAATTTCTGCTGTGTTCTTCTTCATTAGTTGCTTAGTTTTAAGAATGGAGTAATCAATCACACTGTCCTTGTGTATTGAATCAAGTCCCAAATGAGCAATAATTGCAGTAGCCAGTCTGTCAGACGCCACACAGGAGCTGCTGGTGATTGGGCTGTGAAGCCTTTTGTGTGTCTGCTGACAGATTCAGGGGACCATCTCTCTCAAAACACGAGCTCACAGGCTGTTTGGCCTTCTGCTGTAAATAGAGTTTACTTTGACCTCAAATAAGAGCTTGATAGACAAGAATGTCAGGTTCCTGGGGACGTGAGTTCAGTTTTATCCCTGTGGAAGGCACATCTGTGAGTGTTATGTCAGCTGCCTTGTGGCAGGAATTAAACTGTGAATCAAAAAGCTTCGTGTAGCTGCAGCTTATGTTTGAGGAGGGAAAACCCCCAGACATCCATGTTACAGGTTCCTTTCATGTTAAATTGCCTATTTTGTTATTGCTTTGTCGTTTTAGTATTGGGATTTGGATATAAGAATTGAGTTTGCTCATGCTGCTCCCCTTACCAGTCACAGAGGAGTGTGTACCTATGAACACCCTCTGGCACATTATTCCTTCCCATACTGTGTTTCTTCAGATGTCTTTGCTTATAAAAATGTCTTCTCTGAGTAAGTCTTCAGAAACATTGGCAGGTCTTTTCAGTTGCTCGTTTTTAAGTTAATAAATCCCTGACTAAGATCTTACAGGGAATTTAACTTTTTTTCCAGATACAGTTAAAAAACTTCAGGATCAAAAGCATGACATGGAAAGAGAGATCAAGAATCTTCACAGGAGACTCCGGGTAGGTAAAACCCAAAGAGGTCAATAAAGTGTAAGCTTAGAATGTCCTAAGACCAGCATATAAAATTGTGAAAACCTAATGCCAGGGTTATGCCAATAAAATAATTATTTCTGAAAGACAGGCATCATGAGAATATATTTACTAACCTACAGACATTAAACAATGCAAAAAATTTCTCACTGTCACAAAGATAGGATGTTGGGCTTAGGAGAAAAAGTTCCTGTGTATTTTGATGTGGAGTTTAATATTAAATCTTTTTCTCCTCCACTTTGGACATTTTATTTGTCTCTAGAAAAGAAATTGATGAGTTTCAAAGTGTAGTTATTTCCAGCAAAACCTCTTCAATTGAACTTGTGAGTTAGGCCGTGCCTAACACTGGACAAGTGCCTCTGTGGTTCCTGTAAATCATTTCCTTTAGCAGCATAGGAAAACGATGAATAACAAGGATAACTTTTATTTTGAACTTGCAAATTGATGCTTGCAGGAGGAGTCAGCAGAATGGCGTCAGTTCCAGGCAGACCTGCAGACTGCAGTGGTTATAGCCAATGATATCAAGTCTGAGGCCCAGGAGGAGATCGGGGACCTGAAGCGCAGATTGCACGAAGCGCAGGAGAAAAACGAGAAACTCACCAAGGAGCTGGAGGAGATCAAGTCACGCAAGTATGCCACTGACTCCCGGGACACACACACACAAATATATATGTATGGTCTCTTCTGCAGCAGAGGTGCAGCTTTGGAAATCCAGTTGCTTAATTATTGAGGCTCCACAAGTTTGTAAATGGTGTCTCTGTGAGGATCCCTATTTCAGCAAGCTGCTTTCAGCAGTCAAAGTAGCTACACTTACAACAGCAATATTTGGTTCTTTATACTGTATACTTAATCTACCCAGGGTTTTACAAAGCCAGGTTGAAGTGGAAGATTTTTCCAGTTTAGCAACTAAAAATGATTTTACTTTCCACAGTGTGAAAAACAAGCAGTGTTGGCTTTTCTGTACCATCATTAATATTTCTTATTAGCAGCCAAGGCTTTTGGTGTGGTTAAAAACACAGCTGGGTTTTTACCTGAGAAGAAACCTTCATCTAGATCTGCATATAACTCATACTGGTTTTTTTTCCCTGATAATTAGAGGTGCTTTCGATATAAAAATAAAACCAATCCAAATTGTGATGTATTGTGGTTTGAATCAGGTGCTCCAGATATTTAGAAACTGAGTTATATATATCTTTAAGAAGTATTCAAGTCTTCAATAGGAACATCTTGGACAGCAGCATTTGAATGCTGACTACATTGCCTCTAGGGGTCAGATATGGTGCTTGTGATGTGTATATATAAAACAATTGTTTTCTGCATGGATGGGAGTTTGGTAAGATTTACATTACATTTAGCCCAGCATCTAGCAGGATAGGAAATAGCTTTTCCCCAGGTTTCACAGCCTGTGCTGATGCTGCCTTAAGATGTATACCAGAAATATATTCTTGCCTCCTTAGTAAATAATAAATAGTAAAAATAATAAATAATAACAAATAAGAATAAAAAATTGTTTAATAAAACAATTATTAAATTGTTTTCCATTTATTCAGGTGGAAAAACACTCCACTCCCCCCTCTGAGATTATTATTTTCATGTGGAATGATGAAATCCTTAATCTGAATTATTTCCATCTGTGTGTGTGACATAAGAGTAGGAATTAAGCTTTATATCAAATATTGATTTGATAGACTTTTTCTACCAGATGCTGAGCTCTGTTGCTGACAAATAGTAAGAACTTACAGTGAAAATTTGGGTTGATAACCTATTTCTGAATTACAGTGGAAAGAAAACTAGGTTAATGTAATTACCTATTTGGACCATAGATTTTAATTCAGCTTCAATGTTCGTTGATTTTTTTAAAGACTTTGCACGTTAAAATATTTTTCAAACACCCTGAATGAGCAGCACATTGACTTCAGGCAGGAAGAAGAACGTGGTCGAGTGTACAATTACATGAATGCAGTAGAGAGAGATTTGGCAGCTCTGAGACAAGGAATGGGCCTGAGCCGCAGATCCTCCACCTCCTCGGAGCCAACTCCCACTGTGAAAACGCTCATCAAGTCCTTTGACAGTGCCTCCTCCCAAGGTGAGTGCCCCCAGGCAGAGCAGCAGCTGCTCCAGGCTGCCCCATGGCAGAGGCAAACTGCTTTATCGTGCCCTGATCTCCAGCTGATGGCTGAAACCAGCCAAGCCAAGCTGGGTTGCAGCACAGGTTGTTCACTGCAGTTCAATGCAAGCATCCTTTTTTTGTCTTGTCTTTATTTTTCTCTTTGCTGTCGCATTGCCAGTGACTCATATGCTGGGTGCTTTGATTCAGTGCTCCTGTATATTAGAAATACATAAACACATATGACACATAATTATAGCTGGGAGTACAGCTGATTTCAGCCTGATTATTAAAATGTGAACTTAATGTACCAAATTAGGCATTTTAAAAGCCATGTAATAGCTAGAACTGAGTTTATTTCTTTTAATAACTTGTATCTTATACTCAGAGCTCTGATGACAGTTAAAAGTAAGATCCAGCCAGTATTACCTATTAAAAGATGCAAGAGATATTTTCTAAAATGAAAAGTCTCATTCTTGAGACAATGGAATTAACTGTGATTTTCATTGTGGAAGGAAGTGGTGTTCTTCTCTATAGGTGACCACAATAAGGAGTCCAAGTAATTATTCTGAAATGAGAAACACTTGGGTTTTACCTTTAACTGCATATGAGACCTTGTGTGCATTAAAATATTTCCCTTGCCAGGTCTTTGGGTTTTGACTTTCATGTCCAGCAAAGTCACCATGTCTTGTAAAGGGACTTGTTCTGAAGCACACCGAGTTAGCAGTGACAGGACAGCACTGTGCACAGCAAAGCTGCTTCTCACTGCTTAGAGCCAGGCAGTTTAACATACAGAACCATTCTCTGTTATTTAACCATTCTGTAAATGCTTCTTATTTCCATGCTTGCTTGTTTTGTTCATAGGTATTTGCAGTTTTTTACTTCTCTAGTGTTAATTTAGAGGGTTTTTTAGTGAGCTCCTGGAGGAAGGTGCTTTCTTGCCAGAGTTAGTTTAGTTAAATGATAAATCCCCTCTCCCTTCTTTGGAATCTTTTATTTCAAGGTAGTATCTGCCTTCTACCTCAGGATTCATGTCTAATCATGTTAAATCATCAGATCACTGATTCACCAATTTCGAATTTTTCTGTTTTCATGCCTTTCTAAAAATGTTACTTGTTTAATCCTGAAATTTAAAGTATATAATAATCTAGTGCTTGTGGACTTTGATTAGAACCTAGAGAGGAGAAGCAGGTGAAATAGTTTATGATTCTTGTATTACTGGCAGAGCCAGGAGCCCGCTGCTATCTCTTTAATTGTCTGAAGATCAGAGAACTAGTAATGTCATGATTTATATCTGCCAAGGTAATAGTATCCTGCACCTTAGCCTTGTCCACCCCCAGCAAACTCAGGCTTTTACCATGGATGATAGAAAGACAGCAAATGAAGGTAATTGCAGGGGTGTAAATGTGTAGGCATACTTTCAAATGACTTTTCAGTCAATTGCTAATTGAAATTCTGAGAGTGTGATCTGGTAAAACTAGTAATGTAAAGTACAAGGTGAGGGGTGGCTTTAGCAGTCTCCTGTTGCACTGCAGAACAGTGTCATGCTCACCCTGGCTTCCTTTCCATGTTCCTCCTAGTTCCAAGCCCTGCTGCTGCCACAATTCCACGCACTCCCCTGAGCCCAAGTCCCATGAAAACTCCCCCAGCTGCTGCTGTATCCCCTATGCAGGTGGGTGTTTTATGACTGCACTTAATCCTTCTCTGTGAAGAGGATTGTCTGAAACTACAGGTGGTAACATACAAATATTGGCTGACTCGCTGGGGAAATAATGATAAAATGTTGCCTTAAGTAAGTAATTACTGAACTGTTCAGTCTAACGAGTCTTTCACTGAGAACCACGTTGGAAATGTGGAAGTTCTTGTTAAATATTCGTAACCATTGCTATTCCTGTGCTATTAAAAAGCATGAGAGGAAGACTTTATTTGCATTCCTTGGTTCTAAAGTTGCTGTTTGTCAGTTCTTAGTCCTGTGCCTGGCAGGGAAACAGCAGTAATCCCCTTTGGCAGTGGACTAAAGGCTGTGCAGAATCTGCCAGCAATCATCAGTGTAAATGTGTCTTTCAATGCAGGCCTGACGAGGGAGGATTGAAATAATTGCAAATTTCTGATCTTTGTTCATTTTGCACTGACAGAGTTTGGCCAGTGGGTGATGGTGCTGTGTATTTTGTGCTGTCCCCTCAGAAGCTTTGTCCTTGTGCTGCAGCAGCCTGGGTGCACTGACATGGCACTGTCAGGACTCTGATGTTCAGCTCTGTAGATCTTTGCTGGTTTTATCATCTCACTGTGTGAAGTGAGATTTTGGCAGAAGCCAAAAGGTGTAAGGACAAAGCAGATGGGACCAAATTCATAAAGGAAAAATCAAAGAATGTACTTTGTTGTACTCCTTTGATATCCGTAATTCTCCAGTTGCCTTCAAGATATTCTCATCCAAAAGTTTCAGAACTTGATTTTCAGTGTAGGTCAGTGTAATGATTTGGTAATAACATTCTCTCTGCCTGAACTGAGCCATATTAGCTTTTAGTCCTCAAGGAACAATACCTGGAACAGACTGACTGCTCTCCTGTTCTCAGACTAGTGCAGCTTTTATTCGTTTAAGAGTGAATTTCATGAAACAAATAGATAGCCTTAAAGCAAAGAAGAGGAATTAAATGGTTTTTTGGGAGAGCTTCTGCTACTTCTTGTGGTTCAGTCACTCTTGACAGCAGTTTTCTAAATTAGTGCAATGTGACGAGTTCGCTGACAGATGCTTTGTTCCTATTGATCTGTCTTTATATTTCTGTTTATTTCTGCTCTCTTGTAGGAGGAGGCAGACTTAATCTCATGTTCCAAAGGGCTGAACCAGACCTTTGGCAGACAGAAGGCTTTTTGGTGAAGCCTAAGGCTTATCTCAGCTTTATTTACCTGTAAATTAACCATGAACCAAAGTAATCTCAGAATACTGTAAAGCTGCTCAGGTTTACAGCCCTTGTTTGATGTTCTTGATCTGCCAGAATTACTTGAATTTTGAATTCAACTTTTGGTATAGACCCAAGTCATTAACAGCTGGATACTCATTAGTGGGAAACATTGCCTGAAAAACAAAGGGGAGGGTGTGGCAATGAAAACAGCTTCTATTGTCTTTCTGAAGATAGGTGGTTTTCTTCAAAGTGCTTGTAATTATCCAGAAGGCAATTGGATTTCATGACCTCAGTTACGTGAATATTTTCTGCTCAAGAGAGAAGGGGGTTGAGTTTTCTTTATTTTCCTATTGCTGCCTCATTTTCTACTGTTGTGTTCTATGTAATTTTTAAAACATTTTTGTTTATGCTCTCTTGCAATTGAAAAGCACGATTTTGATAAGTAATCACAATGTGATATTGGCTGCCACCTTATAGAAGTGTCTCAGTTTGAAAGACTGCTCTCTGCTAGGGAAGGCAGGAGCCTCCCTTGGATTGGAGAATGTAAACCCCCTCCCTCTGAATTATTATAATTTTGAAATTAAGGGGCTCTCAGGCAAGGATATGAGGGTAGGAATAACAATTCTTTACTAGTATGTATAACAAGTAGTTAGTGCTTCTTAGCAACTTATGGGAAAAATTCTATAGGTGAGAAGGAACAAAAGAAAAGAAACCTAACCCCCAACAAGAAGTCCTGTATGGTTTAAGATCTTTGAGAAAAGGTGGATCTCTTTATGAGTGTTGCAGTGTTTATTGTCATGAATCTTGGTTGCTTTTAAATGCTGTCATAGGGGAAATATTTACATGGGCACCTACTGAGAATCTGGCACCGTGTTGATACTTCCATAAGAAGGATTGGTTGCAAAAAACATTGTCCAAGTACAGATTCAACAACCATGTGCTTTGTCTTTGGGCTGTGTCATGAATTTCCTCAGTCTTGAAGAGTTTTTGTTTGCTTGGTTTGTTTTTCTTTACAACTGTGTGTGTATGTATAATGAGATAGAGTCTTGGATATATTCTGCAACTCAAAACAAACAAACAAAACCCTTTCTGGCTTCAGGTCCAAGCCTGCAGTGGAACATAGCTGTGTTTTACTATGGCCCTTAGCAGTACTGCAGAACAATTTAGGAGGAGAGGTATGAAGAGAATGCTCTTCAGAATGTGCAAACAGCCCAGCTGGGTTAGCCCAGAGCTTAGCTGGTCTGGTATGCCACTGGGAGTGACCAAAGCAGATGCCTAGGGAGGAATATAAGGACAAGGGAGTCTATCTGCTGCTTCCCCTGGGTACTTTCTGTGTTTTGGAGCTGGAGGACTCTGAAACAGGCATGTTTTCAGATTTACAGGTCACCATTGAATGTCCTGGTATGCTTTGAGTTTATAAACTTCCAGGGTCTAAGCAATTTAGTGTCAAAGACTTCCTATATCTTAACTAGTCAATATGTGAAAAACTGTGTTTGTTCTGCAATTGCTATGTGGAGGTGCACTGGCATGAAGTGCAAAGTGATTGGGAAGAGGTGCCTGGGTAGTGGTGATGGTCTTGCTTCCTTCCATAGCTGACAACAGACACAAGAATGGCAGTCAGAAACCAAATATTTGAAGTGATTACTTCATCCTGCCGTAGTTCTCCTTCAAATTTAAAGCATCTCCCAGACATCTGTGCACTGCTGCATAAGTGCAGGCAGGTGAAAACAGAGAAACATCAGTTGGTCCATGCTCCCCTGGTCTGCAGAGCATCAGTCACTGCTGTGTCACTGCTGGTAGCTGTGAGATACAGAATAAGGAACTAAACAGTGCAGGGCAGCCCTGTCTGCAGTGCCAACACGAGCAGAGGGACAAGCAGTTTGTCAAGACCAATGTGCAGCAAGTCATCAGCTGAGTGGTACAGCCACTTTGTGACAATTTTCATAAAGGATGTTTGTTTTTAAGGGTTAAAGGTATATGGTTATCCAGCTCTGTACATACCTGTGTTTCTAAGCAGATCTGTACTCTCCTGTCTCTGTAGTGCCAGTTCCAAAGCTAACCAAAATAAAATATTTTTATTTTAGCCTCATTACCTATTGTAGCTGTTTCCTGGAGTGGGGAAAGGGAATGAAATGGCTCACTTTGGTACAGTTCTTGTCCTTTAGCTAGGAAATGTTTGGGGATTTTTTAAGTAGGTGATGTAAGTGTGAAATACCAGCTGTTAGGGGAAGCTGTTGTGGACATTCCTGTGCATGGCTCACAGTCACTTTCACCTGCACAGTTAAAGGTATAACCTTTGTCATGTATGTGCAGGACATTGCATATATGAAGTGATGAAATTCTTCGTGCTGTACATTGGCAGATGTTCTCTCCATTTGATTTCTAGCACAAAAGCATAACTCTAGTTTGACTCTGATGAGTAAATAGCCCTGTAATCCTGTCTGTGCTATGGGTTGCTGTAAAGTATATACTGTTAAATTGTTTTAATCACAATTCTAGATTTGTCTGTCTTGGCTACATAATTTGGCATGAGAAACATCTGACCTTTAGTATTTTATGAAGATAAGACTCATTTAACCTTGGGCCAGCTGGAGATCTGAAAGAGTTTTCATGATAAACACATTAGTGGAGTGATTACAATTAAATATTGGAATCTAATAGAAAGGACAGGGTGAATAAAGAATTAACTATAATTTGCAATAAGCTCTTTGAAATGATTAATTTGAAATAATTGTGGGCGATCTTCCATGAGTCTTCAGCAACTGAATCTGTTTTAGTAACTATAGGGGTAATTATTGCTTTGTACAGTTCACTGTGTGAGACTAAAATGGTTATTTTAGTCCTATTCAGTGCTTACTGAATTGTGTGTAAAAGCCATATATTGCTAAATATTTATATAAAACTGGAAAACAAAATGCTCAATTCTTAGCTCTTTAGAGGAGAACAAAAATTAAAGTGACCTGAGAAGGCAAAAAAAAATTGTGTTTTATTGCATTTTCAACAATTATTAAAATGTGTCTCTCCATTTGTTCCCAGAGCATCTCAGTTAAATATGTGGGGACAAAAGCTCTTGACATTGTGAATAAACCCCATTTTTTCAGTAGTGTTTTTCTTAGCAAAGAGTTTGGGTCACTGTCCCCATTGCAGCATTCTCCCAACTTTCCAGATGAGACACAAAGCTGTAAAGGCTTATATTAATAACACAAATCATGGCTTTAGAACACAAAACCTTGGCTTTGTATAGGGAGTTCTGTTGGTTTAAATAAACACATCAAGTTTAACCAGAACAGGTTTGTTCAAACAAAATATAAATGGAGGTGAGAGTCAGTACAAAAACTGCAAGAGCACTCACAGCCTTAATTTTTAATATTGGTCTGAGGAACAGGTCTCAGTTTAAAAAAGCAAATGTTGCAGAATCAAGGCACAGACAGATTGGCAAAATTAAAGATTTTTAAAGTAAAGAAGGAAAATTTTTCAAAGGTTCCTTTTTTTTGGTGTTTTTTAAAATTAGTAATAATGTCATATCTGAGTTTCTAAAGCTGATTCTACAATTCTGCATTTGTTTTCTTTAACTTCCAGTTATGTCTGACTCAAGTATTTTTCCATTTCAGAGGCATTCCATAAGTGGGCCAATCTCAGCTTCAAAACCTCTTGCTACACTGACAGACAAAAGACCAAGCTATGCAGAAATTCCTGTTCAAGGTACTGATTCAAGTTCATTTAAACTTTGGATTTAGCACTGCTATTGATAGTTTTTTTTTAAATTTAGTATCGAAAGCTCTATCATGTTACATACTTTTTATTATCAAAATATCTTAATAGAATCATAGACTATCTCATGTTTAAGTTCTTTTTACTTGTGTTTCATCTCATGTGGTGGTGTAACATAAAGATGCTTTTTTGAATTTCCAACAGAACCACAATTGCATGCTGATAACTTGGTATTATTCTGAGAAGTTTCACTGTGTGCATAAACTAAGATCACTTGTAAAATCAAGATAAGATAATTTCAGGGACATATCTTGCAGCTGTCCCAGATATGAAAAAAACCCCACCTCTGGAGTTACAGTATTTGTGTGTAATTGGTTGCAGGTTTTTTAACCCCCCCAAAACAAAACAAGGATGATGGTTGGAATTGTATTGCATGTGAATAATAAAATAAACTTCTTAAGTATTGAACCTTCAGGAGCCAGATTGAATGGAATCGAGTGTTGATTTATCTATTTCCCAATATTCCCCTGTTCTGTGAACTTTGTTTTGTCTCTCAAAGCACTGTTCACAATGTGCTCTTCCTGTGAGAATGAATGGCTATCATGTGTTGGGTGTAGCTCTCTGATTTATGCCTGCTTTAGGGGCTTTTTGTGTGTAGATGTTTCTCAAGATAATCCCCATATGACTCCAGGCTGAATATTTCCTCTCAATTTGGTATTCCTGAGGTCTGATGTTTTCTAAAGGGTTGGGTTTTTTTTTTTTCTGTAGCACTTCATAATAGTCTGTATGTGCCAGATTTCCTTCTTGCTTTTGTTGAATCCATATTGAGGCTATTTGTACAATGCAGCTGCAGTTTTAATTTTAGAAACTTTGATATTTTTAGGAATATTGAAATGCCTTTCCAAGAAGATAATACATGATTCTTTAATTGTTCCAGAGTTCAGGGGTAGACATAAGCTTAAACACAAAATGAATGGTATGTTTTACATGGCTTTTGTGATTTTTTTCGAATCAGTGAATGCAGGAACAGGACTGTGTTCCAGTAGTGAGGTGCCAGACAGAATTCCTGTTTACAGCCATACAGATATATTTTTAATGTACTGCTCCAGCAGTGTATGTTTCTTATGTCACATTTTCAATTAATAAATGGGGTTTCACTTTTCTTAATCCTTGTTTCCGTGAGGTTTTATATTCAAATTACTGTAAGTGTTTCTGTGTAGGAGTATGTAAACCTTTTGTTTGCAGTTTTTACTTGAAGCAATGTTTCATGATAGGAAATAGCTTTGATTTGTTGCTATAGAAAATTAATTTTCTTGCAGATTTTTTTTTACTCATTGGCATTAAGGCAGAACTAATCTTACAATACAATATGTAAAGGCAGCTTTTAGACTCTACTGCATGGAGGAAGAAAGGAAAAATGTGTAGCTTTATTTAATAATAAAATGAAAAATCCCCCAAAGCCCAAAAAATGTCAATCCAACAAACCAGAGAGGAGGAAAAAAGAAATGACCTGAGGTACAAAGCAATGTGCTTTACCATTGAACATTGTGAAGGACATGCTGAATGTTTTTGGCCATGTGAGGAATAGAGTTTTCTTTCTCAGCCTGTTGGTTTAAGGAATATTTTTATGCCCGAGGGCAAGTGGATTGGCAAGAGGCTTTAGGGCAAAAGGATTGAGGTGCTCATGGTGTGTTTTAGTGCACTTCATTGGCAATGGGCAATTTTAGGGCTCTCTATCTTCAGATAAAATCAATTGCCCTCCCTCAAACAGCCAGACTTGGGCCCTGGTGGGCAATATTTGTGACCCAGACCTGAATGCCTTACATTTGACTGGAATCTTCAGAAATGATGAGCTCCCTCCTCTTGTTTGTGCAGAGCATTTGTTGAGAACCTCCTCCACCAGCCGGCCAGCCTCTCTGCCCAGAGTCCCTGCTATGGAAAGTGCCAAATCTATCTCAGGTAATGCCATGGCTTTTTGGTGAGCAGGAAAATCAGGAACTCTCATTTCAGCCATGTACTTACAGGTCTACTTTGTGACTGGCAAAACCCCCAGATATTCTGCAGTATTGCTGATGGTAGTTTGCTGGACATTTGATGTTAACTTTGCATTAAAAAAACCCCAGACTTGCTAAATACAAGTTTATGCAGAGTGTTAGTTTATTATCAGGCTCTATATACTGATGTCTCAGTATCAGCAGGAGCTTCTAAAACCAAATCTTTATTAATTATAGCACAAATAGTGTGATACTGTGAAAATGATGCTTTGTACAATCTAGGCAGAATTGATTTTAGGTCAATATTTTTTAAAAAACCCTTATATTTGAGTAAATACTTACAAGTTTTAGATCATTTTTGTTTGTCTTAAGAATCCAAACTTCCTGTGTCTGGTATTTATAAATTAATGTACTTGCCCCCAGGTCATTAGAAAATAAGTCCCTGATTTATGTAGAGAGTTAAATCTTGGATTTGCACAAACATGAACAATGGTGTCTATTTAAGTATAAGGGCAAGTCTCATACTTTAAACTGCAAACTCTTCCATGTGGAGAACATGTAACAATTCCAAATTCGGTTTTATGGAGTACAATGCTTGTGCTTTCATTTGAAAGAAAAAGCATTTCCTTTGATAAAATGAAGCAAACTCTGTGGAATGTGGCTGACTGGTCTCAGGTCAACGTTTGATATTCTTGTTGATGATATTTAATTAATGTCCAGAGCATCACATACATGCCAATTCTTCATTAAAATTAAATGGAAATAAAACAGCTGTCATCTCTAAACTGATTTGGTTTTCTTTTCCCTTAACTACTTGAAGCTTTGCAGTGTAACTGTATGGACTAGAGGAGAATAAATACTTTGATGTTAAAATTACTTCTCATTAAATCCTTCAAGTAGAAGTCGTGATATTCCATTAAGATACATCCATCAAACATTCTTTGCTTCAAAATACAGGCTTGATCATAAATGTTTCTAGTGCAGTCTAAATCCTTCATATTTCCAAAGTGGAAAGTATCAAGAAGAATGTTTACACCTACTATTAGATATAAGTTTCTGTGTGTGGTTTCTGAACTAATGCTTGTCTGAGAGCAAGTTTGGAAGTCTTTATGTTTGCAAATGATAAATGCATGGGCAATTCCCCCCCTTAGTGTCTCGAAGAAGTAGTGAAGAAATGAAGAGGGACATCAGTGCACCTGATGGGGCATCCCCAGCATCTCTCATGGCAATGGGTACCACCTCACCACAGCTGTCCCTCTCATCTTCTCCTACAGCATCAGTCACTCCTACAACCAGAAGCAGAATAAGGTAAAAATCTTTGATTGGGGTTAATTCCACAGTTATCTGTCTGCATAGCTCTAGTGTATAATACTGGTGCTGAGACTGCAGGCCCCACACAGCAATGATCTTCAGTAATCTGTAAGAGCTTCAGAAAGGCTTTTCTGCAGCTCAGTATTTGTTTTAAAAGTTAGACTAAAAGTTAAGCTTTTTAAAGTTTATGAGGTTATAAAGTTCTTACCAGAACTTTATAATCCACTAGAAAAGTAAGCTAAGTCATGTCACTAAATAATAATACCAGTTGAAAATACCACAAAGCCAAATTCAGGAAGTGAGCTTGCAGCACATGGAGCAGATCATGCAGGCTGCCTTGGACCCAGGGAGACCATGATAAAGCCTAATTTCTGTAATCCCAGCTGAAGACAAAAAGCAGCATGCCCAGGTCTTAATCCCAGACACTGGCAAGTCTTTTTAATGACCATGAGTGAATGGGCCTGGGTTTTTTTGTCCCACAGATGGAGTCATAGTGCAGGTCTGAGCAACAAATGGCCAGACAACCTCCTTTGATTAGTAAGACAAAAGATAAGTCTGTGTTAAATTTAAAACTTTTCCTCTCTGTTGTGCTATCTGTCAGAGGACTTCAAAGTATTTAATCCTCATGTTATCCGAGTGAAGTATGTCCTCAGCTCTGCTTCATAGTTTGGGAAATTGGCAGACAAAGGTTAAATAACTCTGTCAAGACCATTTCTCACAAAGCTTCCTGAAAAAGCTTTTGCACAGAAGAAGTATTAAGCCCTTAATGTTCAGAGACACTTGCAATATGTATAAAATTCTGAGGTATTCACAGCTGTGGGTGCTTTTGAAAGTAATTTTCCTGAAATCAGCTGAGACAGACCTCAGTGCTGCCTTCCTTTTATTGTGCAGAAATTAAACTGAGTTTAATTGTGGGTACTTTACTACCAGCAATTAATGTGTATGTTAGCACCTAAATTTAAACTTAATACATCCAGAAATAAGTTTTTAAAAACCCCTAAAACAGCAGTGAATGAACTTTGAACTGGTAACATCGAGTTGTATTGGTGTCAGTCTACAGAGTGGAGCAAAGAGTGTGGCATTCCAGAGTGAAGCTGTACAGTTACAATTATGAATTCATGGCTGTGCTGCCCAAGCATTGCCTGCAATGCTCAGTGCTACCACAGACTGAACGGGCTGTGCAGCAGTGGCTGTGTGGTGATGAGTGTGGCCTTTGGAGCCACTCTGAGTCTTCCTGCTGGAGTTCAGTTTGTTACATGAGCAGATTTCTCTGTTTTCCCCTACCTTTTTCTGAAAGTTATTGGGAGAGAAACAGTTATTGGTGTCATTCACTAGAACAAATACTTGAGGTTTACAGTTCCCTCTAGTTTCTAGTTGAAACTTGGTTAACTCTTTGATTTGGAATGCAGTTGACCTAATATATGAACATGTAAGATTTGTATGTCAAGCCATTTCTCATTGTCTCCTTACAACTTAATGCCAATTTATTTTCTTCAGCAGTGTTTTCATAACTGAGAACCTGATATAAACCATGTGCTCTTGTTGGAATTTGAGAACGGGCTGTTCAGCTCCCTCATGGCTAAACAGTATGTTTAGTGTAAAGAGACAGGGATATTTTTATTTGAGTTCTATTGTTGCCCCAGATCTCTGTTCTTCAGTTCTCATAGTGTTGTGTAACCCTCATTATAGATTGAATATGCAATCCCATTGTTACTTGTTTCAGTCACCAAAGGAAAAAATACACCAGTGTAAGTTGTTGATATTTGTATTGATTTAAGAACTGAAGTACAGAATTTCTTGAAGCATCATTCTGGCTGTGTGGTGCCTATGAGGTTTAGGTACAGTGACCTATTCAGGTAATTTATTTCAAATTTAAAATACACAATTATTGACTTCCTTGTCATGTTAAATCAAGATGAGCAGTTAGATTTGAAGGCCCAGCATCAAAGATATCAGTTACTGGTTTGTGTTTACTGTCCTGTTGGGCATAAATTTTCATGGATATTTCTGCTGTTATCTCTAAGTAACCTTGAGATCCTTCCCATCCAGATGTCAGTGAAGACTGGCCAAGCAAATTGCAATGCATGTATTTAACATCAGTGCCTTAAAACATTTCCTTGTCTGTTGGGCCACGTTGTCTTTTATGCATTGACCAAGGGATGCTGATACATGGAACAGTCTCTGGTGTTCTGTTTACAGCACACACAGAAGAAATCCACATTCCATGGATGCTTTCTTCTCCCTTAGCAGGAGCTGGAGAATTGCTACCTGTAAAGCTGCAGGAGAGAATACACTAATGATTTTGTATTTGCACATTCCACTCCTCTTTCCAGTCACCATATGGGCTGTAAAGAACAAAGAGTTGGAGATTTGAGAATGAATGTGTACAATCCCTATGTCTTTTGGGAAATATTCAGAACAGTTACTTAGGTTATCATCTCTGTGAATGTTGTGAAAACTCAGCTTACATCTGATAGGACTCTTTTAAAATGGCAGATGGGGAAGTCTTTGCAGTTCACTGATAGCTATCTTATTTTAATTTTCCAAATGGAGATTATTAAAAACAAGGACAACTGCTGGTACACTTCACGAGTGGTAACTAATATCTGTAATGGTGTAATATTTGCTCTTTTTGTCAAAGACTGTTCATATAATATCTACAGAAATACTGAATCATGTAACCAGGCCACTAATAAAGTATTAGCCTCTATAATATTTTTTCTAATCTAAGAATTCACTTTTGAAGCCTGGTAAAGAGATGTTGTAATGTAAGGCTCATGAAAAAATGGCCAACTTACGTTGTTCTTTTCTTTCCCAATCTTTTCTTAAGGAAAAAATTACTTAAGATAGCTTGACAACTGGAATTGAAATTGACTGCTTTTATTGTGCTAATACATCAACTGGCAGATCAGCCTACATAGATCTCCCCCTTCTTTTTTGAGAACTCCAGGTCTCAGGAAAATGTTCTGTTCATAGCACCGTGCTGCTCATATGCAAACTTGTTGTTTCAAGGTGACATTTGTAATCAACCATGAGATGCAAAAGAGATAGCATCAGTTTATTTTCTTTCTAAATACGAAATAAAGTCACTTGAGTTAGCTTAATGGTTTAGGCTGGAACTTATTATGTTGTGAGTTTAATTTTTCAAACTCTTAGAAAGAAATATCATTGAGGTGGAAAGATCTAGTAAGAAAAGCTTAAAGGAAAAAGAAGGATGATTTGCTAATGAAGAAATTACTCCAAACTAACTCAAAAGTCTTTTGCAGGTATTCCTGTGTGTGTGCTGTATCCTGCTACTTCCATGTGCCAAGAATTTGTCCTCCTATTTAAGCCTTTATAAATACCTACTTCTGCTGCTTTATAAACTCTTCTGGCTTTGTTCCTAGGGAAGAGAGGAAAGATCCCTTGTCTGCCCTGGCAAGAGAATATGGAGGCTCCAAGAGGAACGCCCTGCTGAAGTGGTGCCAGAAGAAAACAGAGGGCTACCAGGTACCTGCAGAGCTGGCTGGGGCTGTGCTCAGTGGCTGCCAGGCAGTGGAGCCTGCCCGTGGCACAAGCCAGGGGTGCTGCACACCTGACTGCATAGCCTGAGTGGCCTGGCATGTCCTGTACCCTCCTCGTGGAACGTGTGCTCCCCGTGCTGCTCCAGCACCAGCAGCTCCTCTGTCACTTTGCTCCACAGCTTGTTCTTAAGGGAGCAGCTGCCCTCCCATCCAGGCACTGGAAATCAGCCTTTCACAGGTTGCACTTTTGAAACTAGAGCTGAAACTTTAGCAACTTCATGTTTAAATTAATGTTTCCCGAATGCAGCTAGAGTACCATTTCTCAGATTTCAGAGATTTATTTTTTATAGGTAATTATCATAGGGTTTTCTTTGGATCTTTAAATGCACTCTCATTTAGCCTCTTAGGGACAGTTTGTTTTGTGAAAGTGGCATTGTCTTGCATTTTGAACTTGGCTTTCTACTATGGTTGCAAACTTTTTTTTTTTTCATTTGGTCCAAATGTTATCAGAAGCCAAAAGAACTAACAAGATAACTGTCCAGAGTTCTCTTGATTACATTATTTTTTCAAAAGAATAGTGGCTTCAGCAAACTAAACCAGGATGTTAATAGTCTGACCATGATGTATTTGTTTGGTTAACTTGTATTGAAAGTGTTTGGAGTTCCCAACACAATCCTCAGTTTAAGAACTTTACTCTTTCCATGACTTGAGCCTCACAATGCAGGAGGAAGTTGAAAGCCACATAACAGGATGGTCGCCCATCCATAGGAAAAGTCCTCCTTCAGCACAATGGACAGGCTGTGATATAAGCCCTCCCCCTCTTCCTGTAGCACATCTGATACTCAACTGTGCTATTTCTGAGGATAAGCAGCTTTGTGGAAAGAGCCTTTCTCCTTCCCCACGTTTTAAAAAAGGCAGGATGTTACATTTCTTTATAAATCCTTGAACTAAGTGCAAAAATATTTTCCCATATTGTCTTGGAATGAAAGATGAATTTGACAGCTTTGTTAATCTGGTTAGGAAAAGTGAAAGAAATTACTCCAAACTTTTCACTCTGTAGTTGTGTGCACATTCAAGAGTATGCTTCTGATTCTACAGATTGCTGCTTCCTTGAGTTTTATAAACACTGGTAAAAGGGTCGGTATTGAGACTTTCTGTGCTTGCTTCAGGACCTGCAGCATGGTACTGAGAAAGCACAGAGCATCTGCAGAGCCACTGCAATGCCTTCATTGAAACTGTGAGATAGTATCAGCAGGTTATATTAAGTAGTTCTGAGAGAAGAATGGCTTTTGCTTTAGGCACACTCATTTTTCATTTCTTTGTTATACAGAATTTGATTATTTTCAGCATCCCCTGAAATTCAGTACTGGTTGAACACCGTGTTGGTGGTGTTCTAATGTTTTAAACATACCCAGCACTGTATTCATTGTGAACAGTGCTTATCCAGATTTCTGGCATCTCAATGTTATCAATAACAGATAAGGATCTTTTTCTTTTTTTCATTTGCAATCAATCTTTGCTTCATTTTGATTTTATTTTAAAACTATTTGTGTTCCAAACTGACAAACAGTAAACAAGGGTAATGAACATCTCCCTCATTCAGTCCTGCTGAAGGTACTCAGCTCTTCTTCCTTCCCTGTCATCCAAGCATGGACAGGATCCCCTCTTTACCTCCAGCTCTTCCTGGTGTCTCACCCTGCCACAGTTCCCTTTTCTCCCCAGCATTTCCTATCATCAGAACTTCTACTTTTCCTCTCTAGCACTGTTGCTTTTGTTTGCTTTAGCACCTGGGTGAGAGCCAGCACCATCTTCCTGAGCTGCTGCAGGACCCTCACAGAACTCGAGTCCTGAATATCCCAATCTTTTCCTCTAGGAAGAGCAGTCACCAATTTCTATCCAATATTACCAATTTGGCCAATATTAGCTGTAAATATGGCAGGCTAAAGGGAAGATACTTGCAAATGGAGTCTGTAACAAGTTCTAAAATGACCTGGAAGATTGTAACCATCATTTGGAAACAAGCAAAAGAAAAGAAAGGATTAGAAGCCTTTTGTTTCAGAATAATTATTTTCTTATTTTTGTACTGCTCATATTAAACTACCAATGCTTAGGTAAAACCCTGTAAGCCAGTATTTTTCATGTTTCCTTCTCCATCCACTGCCAACAGTAATCACTTTTTTGTCTTCTTTTCTCCCTCTCACCTGGAGGTGATGTCTCACAGCTGTAGATCTTTATGCAAAAATTGCATGTAAGGTATTTATAGGAAATTATTTCAGCTGTTGGTGTTTCCCAGGGAAGATGGAACCATGCACCTTGAGTTAAAGCTCCATTTCTAACACAGACATGTTTGCTCCTGGCATTGTTTTGCCTTTCATCTCTGGCATTATATTTTTCACTGGACAGTGGAAAGTAGGTAATAAATACTAACAAATAGTAATCACGCAAGTAACCAGATACAAATCTTAATTTCTAAAAAATTTTTGAAGGTGTACAAAGCTGCCAGTAGTTCAGCTTGTTAAATACCAGGTGTGGTATCAACGACAGCAGAATAAAATACTAAAGAAGAAATAAAACCAAAAAGCCACACCAAAGTCTGTCCTGTTTCAAAGAGAGAAGGTTTTCTTTACTCACAGAATACTTGTGTACAATACAGCACTACACAATTGTCAGGTACAACTGGTATGGGTTTTTTGTCTGCTCAAGTAAAAAGGAAGAGAAATAACTCCTGCTTTCCTGTCCCTTCTAGAAAATTGCTTTCAAGCTTTTGATTAAAAGTCTTAAGTACTTATTTCTGCTTTAGAAGCTTGAAACTTCGTGAATGCTAAATAATTCAAAGATGATAGTGTGGTGAAGCTCTTAATTTCAGTCCATTATAGTAGAATAAACCCCATTTAAAAACCCTGCAAGTTACTTCATTGTACACTTTTCTTGATTTATTCAAGCAAATTTGGAGGGGAATAAATAGTCACCTTTAAATGTAGTTGTTAATATTTAACTATGTTCCAAATGTTTTTTCAAGACCTCAGTAAAAAAAATCAGGTTGATACAGCCAATGAAAAGAAGAGAAATTACTGGTGTAAAAACCTCAATGACTTCATATCTTACTCTATTGTAGCTTTTAAGGTGCTGCCTGAATGTTTGCAGGCAGGATTTCTCCTTGGAGCTTAGGTTTGGAGAGTGGGGATGTGCAGAAGGTCAGTGCAGGGCTGCCAGGGGCAGGTTCTGTATTAACTTCCACCCAGAGCCTGTTCAGTCTTGACACAATGGCACACACAGAGTTAGTGAGCTGCACTGTGTGCTGGGCTGAACTGATCTCCAAGCATGAGAGAGGAGAGCTGTTCTCCAGATAAGCATTTGGATAAAAGAGGAGCAAATCACCTTGAGTTTTCAGATCAGCAGGCACAAAATACTTGAGATTTCATCCTGTGTTGGCTTTGCTCAGGATCTGACACTGCTGCAGAGTACAGAGCCAAGAAATGCATTTTTCAGAGGAGAGAATCCTCCTGGCTGCTCAAAAATATGTGCAGTGTCATAAAACTGTCATAAATTCCAGATATCTTCAAAGCATAAAGTAATCCCATCCAGCTGTTATGGTGCATTTACCCTGACTGGAACACAGCTACTTTCATTTTGAGTACACAGCTAATAAAAGTCCCAAAAAGGATGTGAGCATGCATGTTTCATGTTAAAAGAGGACCAGCAAACAGGATACACACATCCTTAACCATTCTTATCTCCACCAGTATTTCAATTTATTTTCCATTTTTGTCAGCATTCTTCTGAGAGATAATTCACTTCCAGAAGTCTGACACCAAAAAAGCAATTGTCACAAAATAGCAACAAGAATAGACTAATTGTTTTTTTTAAACTTTCTTTAAGCTTTCTGCATTTCCTAGGTACAGATACAGTTAGTGTAGCCCTGTAGTACCTGTCCTCTATTTCATGCAATGCTGCTTTCTGGAAAGACTTTTGCTGCAAAGACCTAAGTTTTACCTCCTGTACAGATCAAATGTACATGTCTTACAAAAAATTGAATCCTGTGCTCAGTGCACCTTGAAATCAAGCAATGCTTTCATTTGTGTTTGAGCAATAAGTGTACAATAACAAAACCAGAAGTAAAAAATTGTTCAGGTTGCCTTTTTTTAAAAACTTATCAACACTAAGCTAGGTCATATTCTATTCAAAGTACCATATTGATTTTAAAAATGCACAAGAAAAGGACATGACTGTGCTTATGTAAGGCTGTGTGCAAATACTGACTCCAGGGTGTGCATTTTGTGCTGTCTGGTTGATTCATCAGAGTAGTCAGGATGCCAAAACACTTCTCTCCTTGGTTTAAACTGATGCTTCAGACAAAAATCATTGAGTTATGGAAGGACATGCTTCCTTTTTGTGTTTGGATTGGATTCTGATACAAGAAAAATGTCAACTTGTTAGACTTAATTATGACAAAATTTAGAATAAATGATGAAGCTGTCTGTACCTCTAAGTGCATTAATGTCTGAAGCTATTACTGGATTTTGTGAGAATGGCTCCTTCTTTTTTAGTTCTTCTTTGTGCCCAAACTGAAAAATAACATGTGTTTGGTGTGGAAAGAAACCACTCAGTGTTTAAGGGTTTTGATAGTCTATATTTGCCTTTCCAGAAGCTGGGACTGAAGAGGCAGGAGCTGGGAGTGCTGCTAGGTCTATTCCAGAAATATTTCTATGTTCTCACCTCCTGCCAGAAGTAAATGGCCACAGCTTTATTCCTTGATTTGAGTCAGTGAATCCTGATTCAGTGGGGTGTGGATAGCAGTTCTGTTGTAGTTTACCTTTGTAATCTTCTTTAATGAATACTCTTTTCTTTTGTGGATGTATCTTTAAAAGCTTTTAAAAGCGTTTTACTGCTAATTTTCTTCCATGGGAAGAAGCCTGCCAAGGTCTGTACACTTTAATTTCAAATCTTGTTTTAAGGCTTTAATATGTTATAGCACAGAATCATATTAATGGCTTTGCTTTCTCAACCCACTTATTTAATTAACTAATACAGCAGAGACATAGACACATGTTTTTGTTTTCTTCATGTCCTGACTCTTTTGAGAACCAAACCAAGTTTGGATATGGGAATCTCTCCTCTTTGTGCAGAGCAAGGGATGGAGAAACAGCTGCAGTGCAGGATGCTCCTCTGCTGCAGTTCTGGTGTCCATAGTTCAGGGGGATTGAAGCTGGGGGCATGTCTAAAAAAGTGGTTAAAATTACTTTGTTTTTAACTTGTAACTGTGAGTTAGAAGCCATGTTTTCTCTACTTGGGTTTCTTGATGTTTTGGGGGGAGGGGTTAGCTGTGGAAGTTTTCTGGGAAGATAAAAAATTGTAAGGAGTTACTGAGTTATAATAGTTAACATCTGTTTCTTGAGTTTTTTTTAAAAAGTATTTTTACTGACTTTAGAAGACCCTCTATTAATTTAGAATTATTGCAAGAAGTAATAGGAGAAAAATTTAAAATTAGCAATATACTGGTTAAAACCACTTTAAAATGGTGAATTTTAGAAAAGCCATAGGTTTGCAGAGATCTTAGATTGATGCTTGCAGAGCCCAGTCTGTAAAGCAGTGTAGAAAGTTTCATGGGGAATTTTAGTCCTTTTTTTTTTCTCTGTGAGCTCAAGGGAGTCCTCATTTTGTGGTGACTGCTCTTACTCTGCAGTTTCCAGTTCAATGGGGGCTGGAGTCATGCTTGAAATGCTTCTTGGTTGTGGATCTACCAGCTTGTTCTCTTTCCATTTATTTTTCACTTTATGTTTTTATGTTCTGTCTCCAGAAAGTCTTACAAATCCTTAACTCTGATGTTTACTCCTGGTTGGAAAGGATCTTCCACAGATCTTTTTATGACAATGGTCTGTTGCTTTGCTTTTGTTAGAATTGCCTTTTCAAAAACCATCTACCTCAAATACTAGAGGTGGCTTCACTCCCATCCTACCTATTAATCATTAATAGCCAAGGGATGATAAATCCCCTTGTGGCTCATTTATCTTCAGAAAAGCTTATTCCTCATTTGACAATTTATCTGAAAGTATGTCCTTCAGTTGCTTCAATACTTTGTGGTCTGAAATGTCTTGAAGAATAATTCTAGATTAGATTCCAGCAGAATTCTCTTAATAGAGCCAATTACTTAATAAAAGCAGTAACAAAGAAGAAATTATGTCAGAGATTTTAGGCTGATGTTCTGTTTACCATCAATTCTTTGAGAAATAAGAGCTTAATGCAAGATTGATTTCATTATACTGACCAAGCTTTTTCAAAAAAACCACAAGTAGTTAAAAGCATTTAGGAAATAAAATTTGCTGCATTTAAATGTGCCAGTTATGTGCTCAAAGCCCTACATGAAAAATTAAATTTTCAGTTTAAATGACAATCTGTCCCATTTCTAGATTTGTTTTTACTATCTGACCAATATTATACTTCTTTTAGTCTGAGAGGTAATAATAATTCATAATGCTTAGAGCAATTGGAAACAGAAACCAGTCCCTTTTAATTGTTTCCTTCCGTTGTATTTAATTCAGCTTCTCTGGATACATTAAAATTCTTGGATGATGGGTTTGTTTTCTGCTTGTTGTCTTAATAATAAAAGCTGGACCCTACAAGATGATTTAGAAAAATAGGGTATTCTGAGTTTGGTTTTGTTGGAGAACCAACCAAACTTGCCAGTGCACTTTAAATGGTCCTTTTTCCCCCCAATATTTCTATTAAAAATTCAGCATTCTATGGATACTTACTAACAGTTAAAGTGAAGTTTTTGGTTTGTACAATTGTAATGTTTAAGGGAAATGATTTTTGCTTTTTGTAATTTCCCTGTGGCAGTGCCAGTGTACATCTTTCTCCTCCCCTTCCCACATCACTTGGTCATCTCAGGGAAAAGGGAGAACATTTCATCCCAGAGGTGAAAAGCAGGTTTGAGTTTTTCTCCCTCGGTGGATTGTACAGCAAAGCAAACATGATCATTTCCATTCACACCTGGTTTTTATAGCCAGCTTTCCTCACAAGCCTCTCTCCCTGCCTTTATCCATCTTACTGACACACACGTGAGCCTGAGGCCTTACTGGGTACAGGCTAGGAGGAAAGAACTTTCCAAAAAGTGACTTCTGTAAATGGACACATGTAGAAATTTATTGGCTTTTACAATCTGACATTTTTCCCTTTTTTTTTTTTTTTTTAAAACCTCCTACTATGCATTGCATATGTTTCCTTAATTTAAGTAACATTGAGAAAGTTTCAACCAGGCATTAATTTAAATCCAATTTCCTGTCTCTCTTGAGGAGAAAAGAGACAGCTTTTTTTTTTTTTTTTTTTTTTTCTTTTTCTCCCTTCATTCTTTTCCCTTTTGCTTTTGGATTTTCCCAGCAGTGTGTGTGGAGGAAGCAGAGTGCAGAGCAGTTCCCACAGCCCGGGGGTCTCTGGCCGTGGGCACTGTGAGCCCCAGCACGTACACTGCCAGCAGAGCTGCCTGCACTGGGACCCTGCACTGCTCAAGTGCTGCAGCTCAGCAGGAAACCCAGATTTCCCTCACATTCTTCTAGAAACTGCCCAGAGTTTTGTTTTTTCCCCTCTGTTGGAGGAGATTGTGGTTGTTGTTCGTTTGAAGTCCAAGTGCCCTGGACTGCCTGGCACAGGGCATTGGCTCTGGCTGGAGTCCTGTGCCTTAGGAATAACCACTTTTAGTGCCTTGTCCAAGAGAGCTGATGATGAGGATGGTGACTGAACTGCTGCCAGGTGAAAGGTTGGCTCAGGTGATTGAGATCCTGCACTTCTGTGAATGGAGGTCTTAGTTCTTGCAAACTAAGTAAGCTTCTGCTTGAGCCCAGTTAAGTGAGTTAGATATTAAAGCATATTTCAATTTCTCCATGGAAGTGTAAAAGATATATGATATATTGTTGTTACTGCTTGTTTTCTAATTAAAGTTTAAACTGACTGCTATCCACTTAGCCTCTCTAACATTGTTTGACTGCCAACAGCCAAATATACAGTCATTTAAAAGGTCACTGAGGCATCTTGTTCATAACTCTTCTGCACTGGGCTGACTCTACAATAATTTATACAGTCTCAGGAGATGCATTTACCAGTGCCACTGAGCTTCCTACGGGAACTAAAAGATCAGGAGTGCAAGGCAGCAGTTTTCAATTTCAGTCCCAATCCCAAAGATTCTCTCTTACTGTCAGCACTAAATCTGCTGGAACATCTTTATTTCCAAATGAAAGTTAACTTTTGTTTGTGATCTTGTTCACATCAGTTTCTATAGAGAAATGGTTTGTTTAGAAGAGAAAATGCTTTTCCTCATCATTTAGAAATTTTGTCTGGATATGAATGTAGTAGAAGCAGAAAATAGAATGAACATGAACAGAGATAAGAGCACATTGTGTGATCAGAGATTTGGGGTCCACGTCTTGGACTCCTTTGCTTTTCTGTCCTACCTACTCTGTAGCACAACGTTTTGCAGCTTTTAACACACACTCAAGCTCACATTCTGCCCTTTGTTTTGAGGGAGGACTTAATATAATCTGAAATTAATATATAAACTAACTTTTTATCACTGTATTATTTTGTTTTCCTCTGTTAGTAATGCAGTTCTTACCACAGAACTTTGGTATTGGACTTTCCACTTTCTCTGCCAATTTCTTCTAAGGTGTTAAAAAGAAGTATTGATAAATTGGTAGCATGCAATAATTGTTAGGTTACGATTTTAATACTGCTTTTATTTTTTTCCCTTCAAGAATATTGACATCACAAACTTCAGCAGCAGCTGGAATGATGGCCTGGCTTTCTGTGCAGTTCTCCACACTTACCTCCCAGCCCATATTCCCTATCAAGAACTGAACAGCCAGGACAAGGTAAGATATTAAAAATCCCATTCCCAGAACTGCAATGGCTTTAATTAATACGAGTTAATAAAGACCAGTGAACTAAATTGAGTTATAAAAGTCCCAGTGTGACTAGGATTTCCAAATCATCTCTGTGTATTCTGGTCTGCCACAGTTCCTACCTACTGGTTAGCCCAGGATCTACAATTAATGATAAGAGATCCCAAGACCAAAAGATTATTTAATGCATGAAAATATTTTTTTTTTAATTTATGCTTTTCAGAGGATAAAGAATCTCTTCTTTAGTATTTAGTAACTCAGTTGTTCTTCACTGACAATGATATTCAGCATTATCTTCTGAACGGGCAATTAATAAAATTTTTTATAAATTTTTGGATGATATTAAAACACATTCATTCCTATGGCTCTTTTAAATTACTGTAGTCAAATTATAGACTCCATTTGCAGCAAAAGTAGTGGCATTATTATGAATATTTTTAAGACATTTTGTTACGTTTGAAATAGTATTTCCTTGTTTTCTAACATGTTTTCATATCTCATGCAGAGAAGAAATTTCACTTTGGCTTTTCAGGCAGCTGAAAGTGTTGGCATCAAATCTACTCTGGTAAGATTTAAATATATATTGAATGAGTTATGGCCCATTATAGAAATCAAAATTACTCTATTTTGTAGTCTCAAAAGATTGGGTTGTTTATGCTTAAAAATAGCAGCAGATGAGCTCAGCTAGTGGTTATTGCACTAAATAATGAGTGAAATACAGAATGGTTAAGCTTTAAAAGGAATGTTCACCAACACTTATCTCCTAATACAAAAATAAATGTTAATTATGAGAATAATTTGAGAATACAATTTTCAATAATCTATTGAATCTCTCCCGTCTCTAACCTACTTCTAAATTATTTGGGATTTTTTGAACTCTGGAGCTACAAATCAAGCAATGTAGTTTGTTCCTTTTTCTCAGTGTAGTGTGAGAGTTGAGATTTGCCTCTTAAGTTTAGACTTTTAATTTGTCATCTTGCAAATAGTTGCAAGGTTTTTTCAGTGATTGTTTAAAAGTTGTCTTACACAAATTTTAGAGTAAAAGAATTAGCTTTCAATAGTAGAGTGTTTAGAACAGGAGTATTTCTGAAGGTGTGGAATTGGGAGTATCCCAAAGCCTTGTGAGTTGTCACAAAAACTCAGCTGAAATGGCCATTATCAGAAATGAGATTGAAGTGATACTTTTGCAACCTAAATTCTAACAAAGCTGCCGTAGTTAGCAACTACCAGTACAACAGACTTTTTAAAAATAACACTTTCCTTGATCCTTATCAGTGCTTTTACCCCCAGCATTGTGTTTGCTGACAATGGCAGTGCAACTCCTGGGCTTTCCTACTTTGACTTTGGCACGGATTTGAGATGTGGAAGTTTCTTACCAAGTGCTGATGTGAGAATGAGATGGTGGAAAATAACTGCAGAAATTCGTGCATAATTCAGCCTTGGTCCAAATGGTTGCTGTCTGCCCTTCCTTTTTGTGATGTACTTCATTACTGACACTCTAAACAGGCAAATTGAATGGAGTTCAGTCTAAGTGCAAATTGTATCCATCTTAAGAAGTTAGTATCTATTTACATACCTGCATGCACACTGTGTGTGATGTGTAGGTTTGTGGATGTTTTTCTCATCCATATTTACATGAGTAAAGGGTTAATAAAGGTGTGAAACCTGCTGTATGTAAACAGGAGTGGAATGCAAGCAAAAATTGTTCATTCGCTGAAGATGATGTTCAGCTAAAAGAACTCACAACTTCTTTTTTGAGTTCAGGAGATTCCTGCATCCAAAGCTTTCAAACAGAGCCTTACAGCAAACAGGAATTACTAGGAACTACATCACTCTGTTTTGCTTTGTACATGTGCTGAAGCGGGTAGATGAGAGTCGATTATTTATTGATGCTTAACTGGGTGGGAATTTTGAACTTTAATGAATATCTGGGCCTTGATTCCGTGGCTCACAGTTCCTGGGTAGGTTGTGTTGATTTGCAAGGCTGGTGCAGGGTTATGTGAACACTAAAGTTTGATACTATTGTACCAGCTGTGCTCAGTGGGGGACAGCTTGAGCATGCACAGCATCAGGCATTTCAATCTTAAATCAACAAAAGAACTATCTACAGATATGCTATTCATTACATTTTGTAAGTAATACTAAGATATATGGAAGAAAACAGAGCTTCCTTCATCAGTGTTTTAAATTGTGGAAACTTGACAGATTTACCATTCCCAGGAATGTGTGAAAACACTGCCACGTTGCTCTGAGGGTTTTCATTCCTGATTTTGACCAATGTGTTTTCTGTGACAGGACATCAATGAAATGGTGCGAACTGAGCGTCCAGACTGGCAGAATGTCATGCTGTATGTTACAGCAATTTACAAATACTTTGAAACCTGAACCCTAATCATTCGACAGATCCATGGGATACAACCAACATGAGCTACCAGATGGAAATCTTACTGAAATGCTAATCCCCATTTCACTGAAAACTGGCAACATTTGAGTCCCCTCAAACTTCAGTGACACTATCTTGGATTGCCTCAGATTGCTTCAGCTACTAAGCATGGAAACAACTGTTTAAGAGCAAGAACTTGTTGCCACAGTGCTTGGAATAACCCAAGTTATTAAGCTATTCAGATTAATTATGTAGCCTAAAGAGCCTGAACTACTTCTGTGCTGCCTCTCCAGTCAGACTTCCTGAAACTTTCTTTGCTGGGAGAGTGAGGTGAATGCTTCCTCTGGCATATAGGAGACTGAATGTACAGATAAAGCTTTGAGAAGGAAAAGGATTACATGGCATCATATTACTGAACTTTCTGTAGCATCCAGATTCCACAGACTCTGAATATTCTACCCACAGCATATGGTAGTCCAATATAGTAGATTTCTTAATGGTAATTTAGTTATTGCCTATACAGCTATTTTCCATCCTTTAAAATGTGCACAATATTCCAGGAAAACAAGCTTTGATTCCATAATGACAAATTGAGGGGAAAAGTGCTCTTGATACCTCGAAAAATCTGGCACAGAAGAAGACTTCATTCTAAAGCTTCATTATAAGCCTACCTCTGTCACAGTGATGTGGCTTTCATCTTTATCTTATGGATTGTAAAGACTAGCACATGCAGCTCCTGCCTTCCAGGGTACACTACACTTCAAGGAATCTGTGCAAAGTCCCTGTGCTTCCACTCTAACAGAAATGAATCAATGATCACCCCTTGTCTGGCTTGTTCTTTGCTCTCTTCCTCCTTTGCCCACCCCGGGCTTCCCTCTACAGCAATACGAGCACACCTTGTGGGTATCTGGGGTAGAAGTTTGGAACTGGGATAGCTTTTCTTCTGCAGAGAAGATACTGTTAATCAGATGTAACAATGAAGTAGTTTGTCTCAAAATCCAGCTTTGCCATGTTTTCTGTGTGTTTTTCATTGGTCTTGCACATCCTCATCTGAGTGACAGAAGGTGAGATGTTCTCTGGGAAGGACTATGGAGGAACTGATGTAATTGTGTACACCCAGCAGTCTCAACTATTGCGTGGAAATGACTCACTGTCACAAGGAAGGAATTGAGAAACTTTAGTCTGCTCAACTACTTTTTTTTTTTTCTTTTTTTTTTTCCCTGAAAATGTACCTGAATTCATTTAGCAGCTCTTGGGCAGAAGAGTTTAAGTGCCTTAGCGATCATTGAGTTGATAGTGCTGGCACTTCAGGCCTGCTGTGGAATGTTAATGGCTCCCAACGGTTTCATGGCTCCATTTGTCACGAGCTGTGTGTTGTAATCTTGTTTGTCAAATCGAGGGGAGACTTCACTCCCTCACTGCTTCTGCCTCTTGCTTTTCTGAGCACTTACCAGCAGTCCAGCCATGGAGCATCTCATTAATATTAAGCAGAAGCCGACTTGAGCAGTGATTCTGTAACAGCTGCTATTTATAAGCACAGGCTTTTTCAGCAGTAACCCCACTGTAAAGAAAATAAATCTGTTCTATGGTGCTCTTACGACTGTTAAGGACAGTTTGAATGTCATAGATGTTAACCCAGTGAATGCAACTGTGCTTGGCATCTGTGAAACATCTTCATGGTATAAAAGCACAGATTTAACTCAAAAGTATTGCCAAATCCCAAACCTTATCATCTGAAGAACATAGCCCATGTGAAGAGTAATAATTCAGCATGTCTCTAGCATTGTATAAGAATACACATTTACACTGATATGTGCCTGTGAGAATTATGGAACTTTGCAAAATAACTATTTAACCTGTGCTGAGGGCCCTTGAGAAGTTTTCAGAGCAGCATTGTCTCAGACGTTCTCACAGCTCTTTAGAACTAGAAGTAGAGACCCTCAGATTATTAATTGGTGCATTTGAAGAGCCAACATAATCTAAAGACAATTGTTGCAAGAGAGGTTTCAAGTGAAAGATTTTCATTAACAGATTTTAATAAAAGTCTGAAATACATTTTCCTCTCCTCTATATTTCTTCAACTTTTTTTTTTTTTTGCTTCATTAGTTTCAATAGGAATAGTCTTAGTGGAAATACACATTACTGATCTCTTGCTTTCTATCTCCTATTATTAAATTCCAGATTTTGCCAATCAGTGTTTAAAAAAACCCTTCTGCTTATCCTCTGAACAGATATCCTTATCTATGATTGTCTTATTCATTGCCTTAGAATTAAAAAAAAGTATTTTTCTAATGAAAGGGATAGCATTTCTGGATCTAAATTCACTCATGACCTGTTTTGGTGAGGTAATTCAAGCTTTGACCTGATTATTTTTCTGTCCAATGGTCATCTTCATTTACCTGGGATGTTGTCAGAGTCCTTAAATGCAATAACCCTGAGAGTGTAACCATTTGTCAAAGGAGAAAGGAGAAATCATGTTTGCCAGATCCTTTCTGTTAAAAACACGAGGAAGAGAGAGAAAAGCTAGCAGTAATTATAGTAGGGATCTTGTTCTGAACTTCAGAGCTTTGTAAACTTCTTCTTGGTGTGATTTGTCTGATAAAACTCTGTGAATCCAGCCCAAGAACCCTGGGCTTCATGAAGAGGTTTTTGTGTCTTGGTGTATCTGAGCCTTTATGTGGGAGGTGCTGCTGAGTGGAAGGAAGGGAGCAATGGAAGGTCTAAAGCAAACACAGTGCCCTGCTGCTCTCTACAATGTGGCTTTTTCTGAAGGTTCAAACCACATTCTGTTGTTCAAGAGGTAAAATAGCAGTAGCCCTTCTGCATGTGGAATAAATATACTGTTGTGTTTGGTTTCTGTTCATAGTTAATCCTGAAACAGCCTGGTTTTTTGTTCATGTGAAGTGTAAGTTTATGCTGATTTACTTTCCTTTTAATCCAGAAGATATTTCTGAATGTACTGCAAATATGTTGTCATCCATTTATATTTTACTATGTGCCTTGCAAATGCCTGTGCTCTAGAATATCAGGGTTACTCATGGCCAACTGTAGGGTGGGCAACAAAATGGAGCTGTGGGACATCCTGATGCAGGTCCAGCTGTGCCATCCTCTGGATCCTGTGGATGGAGACACTTGCATAGGTGTTACACTTGATTTGGTTTTGTTTAATCCAGTTTGATTTGGCTGTCTGTTGAAATAGAAACACTAATTTCGTATCTCCAGTGTGAATCTCTGACCCTCACAAAAAGTTTTATTCCCATGCCTCTGAAAAACTGAGTGAAATTTTCACTTTTAAATTTGTGTTTGTGAATAGTTTATCCAGAATATAATATATAATTATGACATATTCTGATTTAAAGGTAGGTTTTTGTCTCTTTTGCATGAAAGAGATTCTTTGAGTTACATGTAGGTTTCTGATAATTTTTGGTCTCCAATTTTATGAAATATTTTCACTGTTTGTGTTTTTCTGTAAAGTCCATCATCGTGTCTTAGAATTCTCTTAATTTGCCAGAGCAAAATGAATTCTACTTTAATTTATTGGTATAAATTCCTATTAATGTCCCTGGCATCAGTGATGCTCTGGTTTTAGGTGCATGAGGAGAAATAAATTGGACCCCTCCTTAATGGTGCAGTACAGTGGTAGAAGCTGCTGAGGATCTGCCTTGTGTGGCTGTGACTTTGGAGTCTCATTTCTCTTACTGATCTCAGTGTTAAGTTCTTAGCAATTTTTTCAGTTTCAACACTCCAGACATTTGGGTTCTTTTGCATTACCAGGAGATTACTTTAACTCGATTCTATTTCTGTACATATTTGGCCCAGGGCACAATTTTTATTCTAGCCTAGTTTTTTAACCAAGATTATTTGGGAAGCTGGAGATTTGGAGAACTTGTGGGTGTTTTTCTTCCTGCCTGTGCCTGGGCTTGGGACACTGTGTGGTGCTCAGGTGGTGTGTGACAGTTCCTTCCCAAGGCTGAAGTGATGCAGTTACACCTTTAAACTGTGTTCTGTGACTCCTCTGGTGACTTCTCCTCTTGTTTGCCTCTTACAACTCACTCAGCCCCAAGCAGGAGCTCCTAAGCTTCTTCTGGGAAGGAGTCCAGCTGTGCATCTTCATGCTGCTTTTTGCCTGTTGTGAGTTGTGCTGAGGTGGTCTAGAAATAAGACCTTAAAATAATCATGTTCATGTTTGGACTGAGTTAGCTGTAGAGTTTGTTTGTGGTCCTTCTCTTGACTGGGTAAATATTTATTTCTGTTGGATTTTTATGTTCCTCTGGGCTCTATTTCTGTAATTCCTTTCTTTAAGCTACCATTAGTGTGTCCCTTTCTTTGAGCTAATATTAGCCAGTTTGAGAAATTACTTGGTGAGAAGTGCTATTAAAGTGTCTCCAAGTGCTGGACATGCCATTGTGCTTTCCCAAGTTAGTGTGTGTTGACTGGCAAAACACAGACATCTCTTAATACATTTAATTGTCCCTATTTAGCAAGGTATCTTTAATAGTGTTTCTGCTTTCACAGGAGAGTGGCTGGATGGGTTTTAAATTACTGTGTGGCTGCTGTGTCCCTCCTTCATCTGAGGTTCTTCTGTTGTGTTCCCTGATTTTAGAATCAGTCTTGTAGTACACTCTATAATTATCTAACCCAAGATGTTAAGCATCTGAAATATGTAGCAAGTATGCTGTGGATAATTAATGCTAAATAACTTAAAAGGTCAAGGTTTGTACAGTTCTGATTTCTGTTAATTGATACAAGTCTTTTTTCCCTTTATGATTTTGCTACACTTGCCAGTTATTTGTGTGCAGCACCCTTAAACTCGTTTTGACAAAGCCACTGTCCTGATCTCCTTGAGCTAACTCATTCTGTGATTATTAGAATTATTTCCTCCCAATGAAACTTTAGTAAAACCTATGAACACCAGATGACTTCCTCCCAACTGACATTAACTTTAATATTCCTTACCCAAAGGCCACTGTGTTGTACAGAAAGTTTCCATCAGTCCCAGCAGGACTTGGGGATGCAGAGCAGTAGGGCAAACTTCTGGCAGAATATTACAGCAGCCTGATGCAATTAAGCTGGTTTCATTTTAATCCCCTATTTTCAGGGGGTTTCAATTTAGGCAAAATCATTTACTGAAAGCTGAAATGTGGCCTGTTAGGTCTCCACTGGGAAGTATGCTTCTGTTTAATAATATTTTTATGAGATTGTATTTATGGAAACAGAAAGGAAAATGTCATAAAGCTAGTTTTGTTGCACTTTTCTAAGGCTTTTGTATTTTGCATAGTTCTAGAATACGAGGAAGTTGCTTGGGGAAGTCAAGGTTTGGAACCTGCTCTGCCCCAGCACAGCCATGTATGATGTGCATTTTCACCCTAGTGATCCGTGTATTATTTTAATTGCATGTGTCTGGTGTATTTATATGGTAGTGAGGGAGCCCAGCAGACATTTCCTGCTGCACAGGAGCCATTGGCAGTCCCAGTTCCACAGCTCATCACTGACCTGTTCTGACTGTGGACTGCACTTGCAATAATGGAATAATCCATTTTTCATTCTGAACTCTTTCAACAAATGGGGAGAAAGGGGCTCTTCTTTTTTTGTTGTTGTTGTTTTTTTGGTTTGTTTGGTAGTTTTTGGGGGGGTGTTTTTTTGGGTTTTTTGTTGTTGTTTGATTTGGTTTGGGGTTTTTTGTGTGTTTTTGGGTTTTTTGGGGGGAGGGAGGTTGTTCCATTGTTGAAATTTCTCTGGAGGTTTTTAATGGTTTCCAGTTATTGCATATGTTCAGTTAGGATGGTTACTTGGAAATGAGTTCAGCTAGGAGGGCACAAATACATGTAACATTCTCAAGTAATTAATCCTTGTAACTTACAAACATTTCAGTTTGATAGAAACTTTTGGTTTTCTGTGTATTGTAAGGTTAATTTTTCTGTCCATAAGTAGCACTTTTATATGTATCTGAAGGGTTTTTTTTAACAGAAATGTGTTTTTTCTGTATATTATCTAATGGGAAGAAAGTATAACACTACTAAACAAGGCATGGACTAGTTTGCCTTCAGACTGTAAGTTCACTTTAGGTCAGTAATGATCAAGAGTTGTTCAGTGAATCTGAAATAAATCAGTGATCCCATTTAATACTGGACAACTCCTGATCCAACCTAGAAGGGCATTAACTGGTACCCTGCACCTCTTGGGTGAGGGTACTTCCTGTTCAGGTGTGAGCCAGAACTGACACAAGTGTGATGAATTGTGGACTTGGTGAAAGAACAGAATTTTACTGATGCCTCAGTCTGACTTCACAGCACTGTACTGGATAAGGACTAACCTTGTTTGAGATGACACTGCAGCCAGTAATGACATCTCCTGAATAGGTAATTTAAAGCTCACTTTCCATGGTCTTTAAAGATGATACAAAACCCAGTGATTCTTAAAGCTCTTCTCATCCACCCAGCTTTTCTGGTTTGTGTTGGTTTTACTCTTCCTTGAAACACAGCTGTTGTCTGTCAGTCTGTGTATGGGTTTAGAAATTCTTCTAAACAAGTGCAAGTACTTTGGTTTTTTTCTAGAACCCTTTTGAATAGTTTAGACACATCTTACATGGAGAGAGGC